TCTTAATCAGGATATTAATAAGGAACTAGCAGTTTATGAAGCTTTTGGAATAATCCACCAATTTTTTAAAATTAAACACTATCTAAAGATTTGCATCGAAGCGTTTTTTTTTGATAGTGATTTTAATCACTGTCAGATATCATTATACTTGATCCAACTATGCCACGTCGCCACTGTGCCGCGACCCCCCTGTGCTGGGTTTTTTTATTTTTAAACGAGTTTTAAAAAATATAAAAAAATGCATAAGTCTTTTTTTACTAATAATGAATGCTGGTTATTATTCAGAATTTAGAAAATTCGAAAATGTTTTTTTGTGGAACGCCATAATAGCTATTAATAGAAAGGAGTGTTTGATGATGGCGTTGTGTTTTTTATTGTTATTCCAGTCTCTTTTAAAAATTTTTATAAACTGGTATGTATTGGTTTTAAATTCCTTAGAATATTAAGTTTACTAAACTCAAAAATGCTTAAATGGAAATTATCGGTGTTATTGGTCAGTCACTTATGAATTAATCCAATAGTTATGCTAATTAATTATGTATGATGACGTTTGAAAAAATATCATTGACATTATTATGTGTTTTTGGTAAAAATAAATAAATATATCATATTATTATTATTATTATTATCATTGTTATTGTAAGGTATAAGAGATAAAGATAAAAGTCCATCATGATTGATAAATCAAAATATATAAGAAACTAAAAAATACCAAAAATTATTTTTTTAGCATAATTAGAAAAACTGGTAGAATTGTTTTGTGTAAAGATACATCAACATTGCTAGAACTTGGTCTGACGCATTGCCATGTGCTCAGATCGATTTGTATGTAATTGTTTTTGATATGCAAAATAAAAAGACAATTAAGGCGGTTGACTTGATTACTATGAGCGGCACAATTTATAAAGCGGCTTTGTATCCCACTCTAGTGATATTATTTATTGGTACTGTCCATTTTATTATCAGAATTTTTTGGTAAAATTTAAATATTCATAGAAAGAGGCGAACGATGATATTTCGGTCAATATATATTGTATAAACTTATTTCAAAAAAATGACAAATCAACTTTGGCATTATTAAATAATGAACAAATAAATTTTATTTGTTCAATAAATGAATTTTATGAAAGTACTTAAAATAAAATTAAAAATAGCCAATCAAAATTTTCATGTTAACTCGTTGCCATTATTTGGGCCTGCTCAAAGAATTATAAAGTAATATAAGTCATGTAAATAATCATGTAAATTGTTACGAATAATTGGAAAAATAGAAATAATTTTCCATACTTATTGAATATTTGTATAATATCTGAATGGGTGATAGATATTTTATTTTTTTGATCATTATGGATATATTATTTTAATTCCCACAAATAAATGTTTAGATAGTAAAACTAATCGATAACGAAACTATATGTATATATAATATGTAAACAAGGAATTAAAGTCACGAATTTTCTATCTGATTCTCCACAGATAGGACACTCTTTTTCATCTATAATTAATGAAATACTTAAATGGTAATTAAATAAAAATTAAATTAAATATTTATAATATTTTAGCTTCGATGCAAAGCTGAGAAGGTATTGCTTTTACTAAGATGTGTTTATTTATTTATTTATTTTATTTTTGTGTCTGTTACCACTTTTTTTCAGCTCTCACCGAACTGATTTCTTTCAATGATACGTCAAAAGATCACTAATTGTATCTAGTTGAAGACATTACCCTCAGAAATTGAAAAAAATTTCTTAGTTCCCCGTAAATAGGGGAAACCTCCAAAAAAATTACGAATTTAAAAATCGCTAATTTTTTCAATTTTTTTTACTTAAAAGTGCCATAACTTTTTCAAAAATGAACATATCAATATAATTCTTTTTTATATAGATGCATAATATTATTACCTTTCATTTAGTTTTTTTTCATAAATTTAACCCTTAACCTGCCCACAAGGTGGTATTTAAAATGACAACTTTTTCACAAAAAATTAACTTTTTCAACTTAACTTTTGAAAATGTTTCGGAAGGTCTGGCACTTATATAAATATCTTAAATTAAAGCTAATTTAATTTACTTTATTATGCAAAAAAAAAATTTCGGACTTTATATTATGTTCACGGTGAAAATGGCTACCGAATGCTATTATTGTGTGAAAATTCTCGATTTTATTTTTTACATTTTTAACTTTATAATGCTATGACATATTGAAAAGTGTATGGATCAACATAATTTTTTTATGAGAAATAATATTTTTTAATAATCCCTTTTTCATTCGACATACTTTATCTTAATTAGGATATTAATAATGAACTAGCGGATCATGTAGCTTTTGGAATAATCCACCATTTTTTTAAAATTAAACACTAACTAAAGATTTGCATCGAATCGTTTTTTTTTGATAGTGATTTTAATAACTGTCAGATATCATTATACTTGATCCATCTATACCATGTCACCACTGTGATGCGATCCCCCTGTGCTGGGTTTTTTTTATTTTAAATAACATTAGCCACAATTGATCAATTATTGTTATAGAAGGAAACTATATTGATTTTATTATTTTTTTTTTTTTGTGTTTGTTACCACTTTTTCTCAGTGTTCATCGAACTGATTTCATTCAATAATACGTCAAAAAAATACCCTCGAAAATGTAATATTTTTGAATTGTTTTTTTTAGCTAAGGTAAATCATTTTCAGATCAGCAAGTTAAGCTAGTAAAAATTTTTGTCAAAAATTTCAACCTATCTTTATTATAAACTTTTATAAAAATAACTTAATAGGACCAAAAAAATATATTAAAAATAAAATTTTGCACAAATTACTTTTCACATTTTAATAATTGAAATCAATAATAATTTGAAAAAATATATATTTTTGTAATAATTATTTTTTAAAATAAATACTCGTTTTTTCTACTAATTAGCAATAATCTAATTGAATTTGAATTTTACGAAAAAATATTTTTAGGAAAGTACATTTTTTTCTCTGATGAAATAAACATTCTAAACTTGTATATTTATTCATAAGTAAAAAAAAAAAAATTTTTGAAAAGTGTTGCCTGAAGCCTTACAAGTTTTATATTCGTTAGCCATTGAAGTGATGAAATATACAGCTCTTTTATAGTTTGTTATTATAAATTATTTTTATTATATAACTCATTTCAATCACAAATTTTTGTTAAAAAGTATATGTTGATTTTAAAAAAGTGTGGGTTATAAGGTTTTATGAAATATTAGAAAAACGTTTGGCATCACTCTAGTAAATACTGAATTGTCAACATTTAAAATATATTTAATTCACTATTATTTATAGAAATTTTAGTTACGTACTATATGAAATTAATTGTAATGGAAGTACTATATTATTTATTTATGATATCGTTTATAATACATACATTTATTTAAATACTTTCGAAAGGGTGTATCACAAATTATGCAAANTTATATATATTATATAAATATGCCTGGTCATATTTTGTTATATTTCGGTTCAAATTATATTAATAAACAATTAATGCATTCAAAAAATATTCGCATTGTTACTCAAATGAGATGTAGAACGTTAATAGGATTATTAAATAGTCAATATAAAGTCATTAATAGTAATAGACAATATAAGTCATATAAATAATCATGTAAATTTATAAAATTAATCTTATTATATAATAAAACATTGAAAAATTAGACAATGTTGGAAAAATAACTTGACGACGTTATTCTTGAAAAATTATTCGCGAAGAATAAGAAAAAAAGAGAAAAAATGTTTAGCATACCGTGAATGTTTAAAAATGTTTGTCAATAATGCTAATTGTCGTTAGCGTTTTTCGATTTAAAACTAGAAAATTTGATCAAATCTGCTTAGAGATATTTAAAAAACACTTTGAAAATTTTGTTGAAATCTGTTTATTTTTGACTGATTTATGAGCCTTTTTGCTTTTTTTATTTCCACGTGCATAGTTTTTAGTAAGATATGATTTTGCTTTTTGCATGTCAATTTATGTTAGTTAGGTAGTTTTTATTAAAAACACGTCATTTAAAGATTGTATATATGATTATTAAATTTTCTTTCGTCTACCTGTTGTTTTGAATAATAATAAGTAGATTATAATGAAGTATAATTGTGAAAACACATAAGTAATTTTGTTGTCATAATATTATTTTTCCATTATTATTATTTAATTTACAAGTGGGAATAATTTTCTGGTAAACTGCTTTTGGAGTTTTAATAATGTCGTACGTCGGTAGTGCCCCAACGTAGATACAAAAGTTTTATACAAATTAATTAATGTTTATATATATATATTGACGACGACTAATTATTAAAATTGACTAAAGAACCAGTAGTCCAACCTCGACTTTTGCCGCATACACACAAATTTTAATATCACGACGGATTTGAAGTATTTACTCTCAAGTACAGATTTTTAAATAATTATTTTGTTTATTTAAAGTAAAAACACAAAGTCAAATATAATATAAAAATTTAACACAGAATTAATTAAATCTTACAAAAATACAAAGTTACTCGCACACCATCATCCTAACCCGTAACTTGACGTTTCTTCGTCTAAACGTCCAGTCTCGTCTAGCTTTTATATTCTTTTTCCTATCATTATTCATTTGCTTACCCTGCATTTTCCCTTTTATATGGAATTATTATATTGCTTGAGAGTTCAAAAATTGTTTACTACTATTGTAAAGCTTATATTATACTAAAATCGACGTAATTCAATACTTCGTCAGCTAATTACTACACTAGTTTTACATAACAAATATCGTGCCCGGCGTAGCCGCGTACTCCTACCGAAATCAGTGACCACTTGTATGAACAGTGCAAAGGGTCTAACGCGCTGTGGAAGCGTGGGGCTCACAGGTACCAGGTCTGGTGCGTAGTCTCAGCTAGGCAAAGCCTAGTAATGTATACTGTTGAATATATATCACACAATATATCAGTGTTCGTCACCACAGTACTATATGGTGTCAACGGCTGGCCGGTGGTTACGATTATCACTGCATAGTCGTACAAAATATACTTTTTGATTTCAATCAATATACAGTGGCTGATTAGATTACAAGTGATGTTGTCGCCGCCTCTTTTGCGCGCGACCGCAGATTCTATCTGTCGTGCATGAAAATTAATCAAAATGGTGATATGCATGAAGTTCTAATAAAAATCATATACGAACCACGTGGCTAATGGATAATCAAATCATCAGCCTGGTTTCTGTAATTTTATGTTAAATTGTATTAGGTTACAGTTGTTATAATCATAATATTATGATATTATGTCATTTTCTTTGTTTTGCAGACGACATCAAACTATTTATGCGTGTAAGCTCGACTGATGACTGTTTGAAATTACAGGATGACCTTAATAGATTTTCTAAATGGTCTAACTCAATGGGATTGTCACTTAATTTAACCAAATGCAAGGTCTTTACGTATCACAGAACAAAACGTCCTATTATGTTTCACTATAGTATTACTGCAGTAAACATCTCGCGTGAGTTAAACTCTATTACAGATCTAGGCTTTAAGATTAGTTATAATCTTGATCCTACGCTTCATATTGATTATGTTTGCTGTAAAGCTTTTAAAGCGTTAGGTTTTATTATGCGCTTGGCCAAAGATTTCAAGCAAAGACTTTCACTTAAAGTGCTATTCTGTTCTATAGTCAGACCTATTCTAGAATATGGTAGTGTAGTGTGGGATCCTTATACTGCCTTGAGCTCGCTACAGCTTGAGCGAGTTCAGCGAAAGTTCCTACGCTTTGTCAGCTACTCGCTCAACATAGTCTGTCCAAACCACGATTATGCCTCTGTCTCGTATTTGCTTGGCCTATCATCATTAGCTGCGCGTAGGCGCAATGCTGGAATTAATTTCCTAATTGGTTTATTGAATGGTAATATTGATTCGCCGAGCCTGTTGTCCCTCATATGTTTTAGAGTACCTCAGCGCGCAACAAGAAATAATGCTCCATTTGTTGTCCCTCACTGCCTAACTAATTATGCAAAAAATGAGCCACTTAGGCGTCTTATGACTAATGCCAATGTTGACCCTAATTTTTCATTTTAATTTTTGTATTTTTCTTTATGTTTAATAATTAAATTCATTTTCATTTTGTATTTCATCTTTATGTTTAATAATTAATTTACATATTTTTAGTATATATCTTTCTATGTTACAATAATCTAATTTATGTACTTGTATTATTTGTAAAAAGGGCTTCTGCCCGTGAAATTCTAAAAATAAAATAAAATAAAATAATATTATCGAATCTTGTTATTTACAGTACGACGGTTGCCCGTTAGAACAAAATATTTAAGATTGTTGTTGTTTCAAATTCTCTTTCTCCGTCCTATGTAATTGATGTGGAGTAGTTAAATTCAATGCCCCCTTTTTCCCCGTTTTCCAAGTAGGTTGAATCCCATCAATATAGACAGACCGACCGCCAGATTCCTCTGGCAGGCATTCCTTCTTTGTTCAATTTATACACATATGTATATGTGTAAGTTTTGTTTTAATAGTAAATGATATCTGAATTAACATAGTTTTCATTCTTTTATTCGATATAAAGTTAAGTTTCAAATTTAACTATGTGATACTTTTTAAGTTCATCCCTTATGCCTTGTAAGGGGGTCAACTTTGTTTTTTTAAATGGTAACACATATTTTTAATTTAATAAAATGTTTGAGTTTTCAATTTAATAGTAAATGGAATTTGAATTTTTAATATTTTTCACTGAGGTATGACGTTTTTTTTAATACTTTAACTTCGACCGTAATGCACGGTATATAATTTTTATTACCTTGATAATTTTTTTTTTTTGGAGATCCTCTATTAAGAAGCTTCATTTTAAAAAAAACTTATCTTAATTTTCATTAAAACTTATAAAAAAATCACTTAATAGTTTAAATTAAGGAATTGATTTTAATATACACGTAATTAATTAAATTTTTTAAATTAGTTACAAATAGTTTTGTCTTATTCAATATATTCTTACTTTTATCGCCGTCTACTGATTCCAAGTTGAATACTTATGAAATTCATACATATGTAATAAGAATTAATTATTTGTGTATAGTATTATTTACAATTAAAAATATAAAAAATACTTTGCTCAAAAAACACAAAAATTTATAAAAAATCGTGAAAATGTATTTTAGGAACAATGTTACCATCATTAGCGCTAAAGACACACTCAGTATATGGCTTTCTTAATTAAATATTTTTTAGTTTTGAATTAATATTTTTAATTTCAAATAATTCATAAATAATTTAGCATAAAGTAAATATCGGTAAATATTCGGTAAAGTGAGAACTAAATATACACATTAGTGGAGCAATGCAGTCAAGACTTTAAAAACTAAACAACATTACCCTCATATTGTTCCAAAATGAAAAAAAATATTTTACAAAATTTAGTCAAGATTGAATATTTCTAATGGGAAACTCAAAGGAGTTAAATATTGGATCCAATAGATAATTTTCTAGTTTAGAATGAAACTTTTCTACAAAAATGATTATTTTAAGTTTCACGAAAAATAACTTATTTTAACTATAAAAATAACGGTTTATTTTAAAAGTATATGTTTTTACAAAAAATATGATAAAAATTGTCAAACAGTTGCATTCCATTTATTTTTTTGTAACTCTCTATTTTTTTTTGTTTTGTATTGATAAGTTGTTTAATAATTATATAAATATATTTTTTACTTTATCTTACTAATTAATTTTTCACTTTTATTTCATATCTATTTAGTTATATTTGAGAAGTTTATATTAAAAAAAGATAATCCAATTAATATTGCGCTTTATACCATAATTGCTATAAAAAAAAATTATATTAATTTGGTTATTTTTAAAAATGTTATGGTAATTTTAAGTAAAAAAAATTGAAAAAATGTCGAAAATTAGCGATTTTTAAATTTGTAATTTTTTGGGGGATTTCCCCCGTTTACGGTAAATGAAGGAATTTTTTTCAATTTTTGAGGGTTATGTCTTTAACTAGATACGATTTATGATCTTTTGGCGTAATGTTCATCAAAATCGGTCCAGCGAGAGCTTAGATTGAGCGTTCACAGACACAAAAAAAAAAAATAACATCATAGTAAAATTATTACCTTCTAAGCTTCGCATCGAAGCTAAAAGCAATTTTGAGAAAATCAAGAATCCAATTAAGAAAAACTTGTATAAACAAAAGTATGTAAAACAGCATAGCTCCTTAAAATATCTTTGGATTATATAAAAACTAAATACTAGGAACTTCTTGGAATGTTTCTTCACTATATCGACGAAATATGAAACAATCTAATATATTATATTAAGAAAATTAATAACAATTAAACGGTCAATTATTTTTCTCAGTAGGTATACATGTGTTCTCTATTTCAAAGTTGTATTTATAGTAATTATTATTATCCAGCATTATAAAATATATAATAAACAGGCATGTAGAAAACGTTTTTTTTTTAATTTGTAAAAAACTGTCTTATTCGTTTTCATGTTTATAGAATAATGTTTATGCTAATGATTGAAAACAAATAAAATGTTTAATTTTAAATATTTTAGTGCCAATATATGTTAATTTATATTGCATAATAAATTATTAATAAAAGACGTCATCAGGGGGGCTTTGACCCCATTTTACAATTATATTACCCTGAAATTTAGCAAAATGATATGCATTTTTATACAGTAATTATTATTTGGAGGGCTGGGGCCAAAGACCTATAGTTTTTTTACTTAATAGTAATAATCAAGAGATAAGTTGTTACATACTTTTACTAGCGCCTAAATCATATACTGTTAATATATCTCAACCATTATACCCTCCTTGAGTACGCTACTGACTATCACATAATTTTAAAACTGTTATAGTAATTTTATACAAGTTATTTATTAATGAACGAGAAAAAAACTGGTGTATTTTAAGTATTAATTGGGTTATATACCCCTGTAACTTAATAAATGATGATGATACATTAAATCTAATTAAAAAGGTTTTTTTCAGCGCCAAAAAAATATGTAGGATTGTGCGATATCATCTTAATATATACTGAATTTTATAATTAAAAATAATTTTTATTCAAATATTGTGATAATATCAAAATTTTAAGCTTTTCACATTTTTAACACGCTTATATTAGTTTCACATGTATGTTGTTTGTTGTAAGTTTGTAACTCCACGAGGCATGTGTTATTATGTCGCAATCCCGTCGTGTATGACCTTGAGACTAGACTGTCGTAACGCATTCACCCCACCCCACTTACCACTCACCAACAACAATATTTTCCTGTATATTTTTATTTTTGGTTTTCGTACCCGTATACGCGGCGTGTCATCAATTATATATATATTTATAACAAATTTTTATTGTGATTGACACGGCCCTTCGTCGTTTCGTTATACACGATACCACACGACTCGTGCCACCTTTATCAGCCGTCGCTCTATTTTATTGAGTATTTGACTGACCAACACCGCGCGTTATAAGCAAAGTTCAGCAAGTGCCTCACGGCAGACGACGTCCCGCCGCTAATGATACCGAAAACCCAACCCAACCCAACGTCAACAAACCAATCTGCACTCGCGCACCATCGTCATCTACGCTGCTAACGTACTTAAGTCGCTTTACATGTATATATATATATATATTCTAATTACTATTAAAACTTATACATTAATACGCTTTATTCTCATTAGGAGATATATAGAGTATTTATTCCGATTACAAAAGGATGATTCCCGTATCGTCATTTTTCGTCTCTACCACCACGTTGCGCGCCTGCTGCTTTCCTTGGATGAGGTAGCCGTTTCTCAGACTCCCTCTCCGGAATCGAACCCTGATTCCCCTTTACCCGTTACAACCATGATATTGATAGTAACTACTAACATAACATGTAACTAAAAAGTGAAATATAAATATAGTTTAAAAAAACATGCTTTTAAAGAACATCGAACTAAAAAGTTCAAAATAATTTTTAAAATAAGCGTAAAACAATAATGAACGAAGAGTACTAGTATTATTGTGATAAAAGCGTCAGGCGCTCAATATACGAAAAATATAGCACAACGCACCCACGATTTTATCATAATAATACTAGTACTCTTCGTTCATTATTGTTTTACGCTTATTTTAAAAATTATTTTGAACTTTTTAGTTCGATGTTCTTTAAAAGTGTGTTTTTTAATTTTTTTAAACTATATTTATTTACTGTTAACAACAATTATTTCAATATTTACTTATACTAGAAATATAAAAATTACATTTATTAAATTCTTATAAAATTTTCTATTGGTCATAAAAATAGTATAATTATTGATTTAAGCCAAAAATAGTTGTACGGAAAATTTCAACTTTGAAACCTATGTTCTTATGAAATCCAGATCTCAAATTTTGCATGTACCTCATAAATATATCCCATTTAAGTATTAAATTGTGTTTCATGAGTTTTGTTAATGAACAATAAGTGACATTTTTATTCAAAATATACTACTACATTGTTTGGCGTAATAGTAATGTATAGTGTAATTTGTTAACTTTTAGAAAAATCGTTTACATATGATTAATTTAAAAATTGTATGATTATTTATTGTATAAATTATAATCTAACCAAAATGTATAATAAAATAGTAATTAGAGCATCTAAGTTTATTTCTTTAAGTAGTTTTATTTTAACTGCTGCGATTAGGTCCATATTAACAAAAACTCTGATCAAGGGAAACATATAATATTCCCATCCTAATTAATTATAGTTTCAATGCAAAGTTAAGAAGGCATTAATTTTACCATTATGTCTTTATTTATTTATTTATTTAGATAATACTTTATTATATATGATTTATTTTAAAGGATTTTAAAAAAACCAAAGATTTTTTTCTGTTTAAATCTCTAATAATAATATTAATGAATTACTTTTTGTTTACATGAACATAAAAACGATGCATTTATTTTTTTGCTTTCCGTAGTTCTTATAGATTTTATTGCTTGTTTTTTCGAATTTTAGCTTCGATGCGAAGCTGAGAAGGTATTGGTTTTACTAAGATGTGTTTTTTTTTTTGTGTCTGTTACCACTTTTTCTCAGCTCTCACTGAACCGATTTCTTTCAATGATACGTCAAAAGATCACAAATCGTATCTAGTCGAAGACATTACCCTTAAAAATTGAAAAAAATTCCCTCGTTCCCCGTAAATGGGGGAAACCTCCAAAAAAATTACAAATTTAAAAATCGCTAATTTTCGAAATTTTTTCAATTTTTTTTACTTAAAAGTGCCATAACTTTTTCAAAAATGAACATATCAATATAATTCTTTTTTATATAGATGCATAATATCATTACCTTTCATTTGGTATATTTTTTTCATAAATTTAACCCTTAACCTGCCCACAAGGGGGGATTTAAAATGACAACTTTTTCACAAAAAATTAATTTTTTTAACTTAAATTTTGAAAATGTTCCGGAAGGTCTGACACTTTTATATATATCTTAAATTAAAGCTAATGTAATATGCTTTATCATGAAAAAAAAAAATTTCGGACTTTATCTTATCTTCAAGGTGAAAATGGCTACCGAATGCTATTTTTGAGTGAAAATTTTTGNAAGCTAATGTAATCTACTTTATTATGTAAAAAAAAAATTTTGGACTTTATTTCGTCTTCACGGTGAAAATGGCTACCAAATGCTATTATTGTATGAAAATTCTCGATTTTATTTTTTATATTTTTAACTTAATAAAGNATTTTTTACATTTTTAACTTTATAATGCTATGACATATTGAAAAGTGTATGGATCAACATTATTTTTTTATGAGAAATAATATTTTTTAATAATCCCTTTTTCATTCGACATACTTTATCTTAATTAGGATATTAATAATGAACTAGCAGTTCATCTNGAAATAATATTTTTTAATAATCCCTTTTTCATTCGACATACTTTATCTTAATTAGGATATTAATAATGAACTAGCAGATCATCTAGCTTTTGGAATAATCCACCAAATTTTTAAAATTAAACACTATCTAAAGATTTGCATCGAAGCGTTTTTTTTTTATAGTGATTTTAATCACTGTCAGATTTCATAATAACTTACTTACTTGATCCAACTGTGCCACGTCTTCACTGTGCCGCGACCCCCCTGTGCTGGGTTTTTTGTGTTAAGTATTTGGTGATTTTTTAAAGTGTCTAATGAAACAGCTCCAGAATAAAAGGGGATAGTCATTAGATCTTTCAAGGATAAATTTTCAATCTCAGGCCATTTTTTGACATTGTCATTTACCTTATGAATGTATAGCCCTCGTTTTTTAAAGTTAGCATCAAAATTTGATTTAAAATTATTAGATAGGTCTAAAGAATCAATAGATAAATCACTATTAACCATGGTTAGTCATAAAATATAAAACACAGAATGATAAATAAAAAAAAACAATATTTAATTTATGTGGAAACAAATTTATACAATTATAAATCTTATATAAAACTAAACTATTTATTGGTATGGTAAACATAATGCAGCCATATGATCAGCTCCACAACTTACATGCTTTACAATTGCACCCACTGAAACCTGCATATTTATTTAAAGTTAAATAAATTAAAATATTTTAACATGATTTTAGATAAGAGAACAGTGTATAATATACATGATTTTTGCAATATATATGTATTATAGTGTCTGGAAAAAATGCATAGCCGAATACTTGATCATTGGCTCTATTTGTGCACATACTCAGTAGACTTTAGGAGAAGAGTATCACATCAACATTAAAGATGGAAAAAAACATTTTACGGGTGTACTGAAATATAATATTTTTATCAGGTCTTTTGTGTTTTCATATTAGAATATGTACAATTCTCTAATTTTTATAAAAATTTTACTATTAAGATCTTTATTAGCTCAATTAAATTTAATTATACATGCAACAGAGTAATCTTTTAAATAAAAAACATAAGTCAAAAATCAATATAAATATAAAAATATTAAAGTTTATAAGAGATCATAAATTATAGTTTACATAAATTTTGTTATGTCCATTAAAAAAATCATTAATAATGCCCAGACACTATTCACACGCCTAGCACTCACATTTTTATAATTATCTATTAATGAATAGGGCCATAATGAATTTATCAACTTCTTGATTTATATTGTTTCTTCGTACATTTTCTTAAACATCAATTTTTTCTTTGAGTCATCTAAATACTATCTGTTTTCGTGGCTAGTAAGTGTACTAGATGATTTGAACTCTATATTACAATTTTGTTTTCATTTTGAATAATTTTTATTGTTTATATAGATATTATTAGTAAAAATTAAAAATATTTAATAGATTAATAGTATAAAGTGTATTAATAACAAAATAATTACTTTTAAAGGAAAATATTGATCTTTTAAATGACCAAGACCAAGTTGACCCCACTTATTTTTTCCCCATGTATATAAATTTCCTTCAGTTGTTATTGCTGCCATGTAAAATAAGCTACCATAAACTGATTTAACACTTGTAGAAGGATTAAATTCATTACGACCAAACAGTGTTGGTGGTATTGGAGATGGTGTAGAAGTTTGTTTAAATTCAGGACCTTTACCTAAAATTCCAAAACCCCAAACAAACACTGTTCCTTCATCTATTAAATAAAATACATATTAACATAATTTAAAACTGAAATGTTCAACAATAATTTACCATTTAAAACAATACATGATGAACCAGAAGTAGCAATATCAATTACTTTGCCAACAGTTTTGTTCAATGATAATGCTCTTGGAGTATTGACCTGATAAATATTTTGGTCCAAGAGTAATTGGCCATATTCTGAATTACCCCAACCAAAAACTTCACCCTTGTCTATTTGTTCAATTAGTCAATTAAGGAATACTATTTTTTAATTATTATATACTAACCATTTAAGGCAAGACAACAATCAGCTGAAGAAGATACTTTAACAATGTTTTCGTCTTTAATATCTCCTTCAATTAATGTGGGATTTGACTCATTTTTGTAATGTCCTAAGCCAGTTTGACCATCTGCACCCCATCCACATGCATACACTCTTCCAGATTTGGTAACAAATAAACTAAAAATAAAAAAAAATAAGTAATACATAAAGCTATTTTGAAAAATAGCTATAGATTATAAAATGTGTTGTAAAAACTAAAGGAAAAAAATTGTAGATATAAAAGTAAATTAGAGAAAAAGCCCTAATTAATACTAATATAAAATCTAATACATTTTACCTATGATCTTGGCCACATACTACTTTGGAAATGCCTTCATTTAACACAAAATTATTTGCTTCTCTTAGCTTAGTATAGTCCTCATTATCAATAATTTTACGTCCACATTGACCAAATGAATTATTTCCTAATGCATAAACACCTTCTGTACTGGTTAATAATAAGGTATGAGCACGGCCAGCTGCTACTGCTTTTATTCTAGTATCCGAATATTTAAACTTTACCTGAATTGGTATATTAGCTAAAATTATTCCTAGTGGATGCCCTCTTCTGGGATCATGGTATCCTATAAATGGAAACATATATATTTAATTAGCTAAAAAATAAGAAAATTACTGGTATATAATAACTTTTGAACAAGTATTTAAAAATATAGCGCGTTTTTATAATAATTGTGAGATGGGTCTGTTTATTTTTATTTCTGGGTATTTATGAACTCCACTATTCCTCTCGTTTTAGTTTAAAAGTGCTATATATTTTAAAACACTGGTTTAAAAGTCTTCTTCTTAGCTAGATAATTTCCTTATTTTTAAGCTAAAAAGACTTATTTTTTCGCTTTAAAAACTTTACTAGTTTTTAAGGCATTACTTTGTATATAAAAACTTATAAAGCCTAATAAAACAAAATTAAACTCCATACTAATGTAAAAAAAAAATACTTGAAATTTAAATAAAAATTTAACTTATAATAATATATTTATAGATTTGATTACCTATCTGTGAATCTGCATTAAGACCACTTCCAAAAAGTTTATAATTTTTACTTTCCACAGCATAAACTGTAAAACCATATCCACAAGCTACATCTGTGATCTATATTTATTAATGATTTTAATATATTTTATCACATATAATTAAACTAAAGTATACCTTATGAGAATATGCAAACCGCAACCTTACTGGTCTATATAAAAATGTAATTTTTTTTTCTCTAGACCTTATTTTTAAATCTCCTAAAGCACCATGTTCAGCCATTCCCCATACATAGAGTCTTTGTTGATCATTTGGAGATTTACTATATGGTGCCACTGTATAAAAAGTAACACAAAATATGTAACTAACAATAAAAAAAATTAGCATTTATGAATTTTCATTTTAGTTTTATAATATACTTATAATTAAACATACAATTAATTTTCTGTTTTACGAAATTAAATGCCGTCAAATGAGCCAATTTGAGTCATTCAGATGTCTTTTTCAATTTTATATAAATATCAATCTACAGCACTGGTAAAATGTTTACAAGCATTGTAAGAACACAAAATTAAGTGATGAAATCTGTGAAATATTAATATGACCCAAGTTTGCCTATCTGAAGTAATTCAATTTAAAACAATAGAATAGAATTAGGGAAATATTAAGTATTCTCAAATACCTATGTAATTTTTATATAGTATTGTTTTATCTACTACATAGTTTTTTACGGAATAGAAATAGAACAAATTTATCAACTCTATAGGTTTTAAGTTCTTATTATAATGTAAATACTTTGAATATTATATTCCTAAATATTTTTATACTGCTGTTAAAAAAAACCTCATTTAATGAATATTAATACGAGTTAGATACTGTCTAGAAAGCTTCATGTTGACTCTCCTTAAATGGATGAAAAACTATAACTTACAGAATGGATCCAACTCTACATGTTTAGTCTTTGTATTTTTTTGGGAAGCATATTGATTAATACAACTTAAAAATGTAGATTGTTTCATAGAGTAACATAGTTTTGATAATATTTTTAGTGACATTTTTTTAATTTGAAGAAAATTAACCAACTATATTAAAAGTATTTTTATTTTATAAAGCTTTAAATAGAATATTTTAATTAAATAGTTTTGGAGCATGTTAATAAATTTAAAAAAGAGCTAATTTCTTTCAAACCCTGTAAAATTTAACATTTTCTGTGATAGTAAAATCAAAGAATAGATAAGATTTATATCTATTCTATGATATAAACTTGCATGGTTTTTTTTTATCTGTATAGTTACACTTATCAATTATTATGATAATAATCAAAATTCATACACTATCTTTGGTAAGCGGATTTTTCTCAAATCATTAAATGCGAGTACATTATAAGATTGTAATTGTGCTTATTTAAAAAAAAAACATTTCAAAATGGAATTATTATACGAAATACCTTTTAAAATTTTACAAGTACCTAATATACGTTTAAAACGGCCATCATGGTTAAAAAAACCATCAGCTATGTATATGTATACTATTGTCATGATTTCGTATTTTTTAGTCACCGGAGGTAATTAAATTAATTATTATGTTTAAATTTTTATCTTACTAATATATGGTATTATATACTTATATATTGCATTTTTATGCTTAATATTTTTTTAGGTATTATTTATGATGTAATTATTGAGCCTCCCAGTGTCGGTTCTACAACTGATGAAAAAGGTCATTCTAAGCCTGTAAGAATAAAAATATTATTAATATTTATCTTACCCTTATACTTTTAATTTATAATAATTATATTCTCAAAAATATCTGTTACTAGTTATAATCGTTAATACTAAGATTTGGTGTATAATAGAGATATGCCAAGTATCCAGCCTTTTCTTTAAGACTGCTTTTACTTGGTACTCGGTTTTTAAGAATATTTTTACTGAAGACTATTTTTTCTCCAGCCTTACCTTAAAAAAGTGTCATTTCGTATGAAAATATTTTTAATCATAGTTTATAGTGTTATCGCAATAATTTGTTATTATTATCATTTAAGTTTCAATAATTAAGTAGAAAAACATGATACAGTTATTTTACTTTAAATATATACAAGTTAATACACCTGTGTATTTTTATTTTCTTGTTATCACTCGGCAAAAATAGTACTCATAAGTAGTACTGTGTTATGTTCAATAAAATTATGAATGAAGAAAGAAAAGAAGTCTTTTAAAACATATTTATATATTTATGAAATATACAATGTTTTTTAAATTAAATAAATTTTAATGATTCAATAAGTATATTTTGGTAACGTTACAGATATTATTTCAATCAATAATTAAAAGTTTGTTTTTAATATTACATTATAACTTTTTTTTACATTTATAGGTAGCTTTTATGCCTTACCGTGTTAATGGACAATATATAATGGAAGGTTTAGCATCTAGTTTTCTTTTCAATATAGGAGGTTTAGGTTTTGTTATATTAGACCTAACTAACAATAAGTCAACACCCAGATTGAACAGAACATTATTGACAGCTGTTGGATTTGCATGTATTATTGTTTCATATTTCACATGTTGGACTTTCATGAGAATGAAACTACCGTAAGTATTTGGTTTACTTAAATATTAAATATTAAGAAGAACCTAATTAACCTGGATTATTTGAAGTAAATAAAATAATCTAAAATTGAACTTAGCTACATAAAGGTAGTCCAATAATTGATGAAGAAAAAAGTTTTATCTTATCTATAATATCATAAGAAAAATACAAAAATATTAAAACTAACTTCAAAATAAATAAAATGTAGTTTAAAATTTAATAATTCCACAAAAGTACACCAATCATATAATTAAATAAAGAAATAAACTTAGATTTTTTTTTTTTTTTTTTTTTTTTTTTAGAGGTTACTTGAAGTCATAATTCAATGGGATCAAAAAAACTATCTTGTAAAAACAAAATTTAATTGTAAGATGATCAATTTTTACACATGTCATTGAAGAAATTAAAACTATCTTAATAATACAATATAATAATTATCGTAACAATGTATAATTTATGTTTATTTTATAATTCTATAAAAGTATATGATAAATTTTTTTATTTTTGACATTTATTTTACCTTTTATTTTCTTTTAATGTTAACAATTTTCAATTCTATATAATAAATAGATCCAACAAATAATTCATTTAAAACTAGGTACAAATTTTCTGTTTAAATTGGTAGAGAGCTTTCATAGTAGAGACAAACAATAACATTTCCTTAATATTAAATGTTTTTCTATTAAAGATTCTTTGAAATTTATTTTTTCATAGAATCATGAATAAAAATCAATTAATTAAGAGAAATGAAATTTTGATTTATTTTGTAGATGTGCCCTCTGTTCCACTATAAGGTGAGTATGGAGGAGGGTTACAGAATTCTGGAGGTTGTGGTTCAGTAAACTGTGGTATCTGAATATGTGGATACTGTGGCGGTTGACTTGCATATGATTGTTGTGGATAAGGTGGGGCTGGTGCTTGATGAACAGGATGTTGGATTATTGGTGGCTGTACAATATAATGTGTGTTTGGAATTGTTGAATTTAATGTTGCATATGGAGGACCATTGACAGTAATAGTTGTAGTAGAACAATGGTTATTCAAAAATTTGAGTTCATCTTGATAAAAGCATTGAACAATATAAATTGAGTAGCCCATAAGTACTTTAAACATAAAAATACAAATTTAATAAGATTTACAATAGTTTAAACCATTTTTTAATACTTACAAACTACTGGGATTGCACCCATAAATATTTCTAATGATTCAAGTCTAAAAGTTGCAAAAATTAAGACGAGTATTGAGAAGACAAAATAAATGTTATTAACAACCAACCACTGATATATAATTTGTACGTTGTGCTAAAAAAAAAATATATTTATGTATATATCAGGGTAGCCCTCAAAAATCGAATGTTTTTTTTATGCTACCCATTAATTCTCTTTAAATACTCATAAAAATGAGCTGTGTAATATTTGGGATTGATTCATTAACATTAATTTGAGCCCCAAATCCCTTAAATTAAGTTTATGAGGCAATTTTAATGTAAATAGCTGATCTATTATTATGATCTCAACATATTCAATATTCATTTTTACAAAATTTGCTTTATAGGACTGGTTTAATTTCAGCCCTTTTGTTGTCCAACTTAGTAAGTTAAGTTGAGCAACCATTTTTTTAAAATTAGAACATCTAATTTATTACCGAATAATGTCAACCCCATAGATTGTTTACTTAAGTACCATAATAAATTTACAAATTTAGTAAGTGCAATTTGTTATTTTTCATCTACTACTAAACTATACATGTACAATTTTTTACAAAATTTATATTATTATATGATGCTCTACTGTAAACCAGAATTCAATATAAACTAGTACCATAAACAAACAAATTAATCTGATATAGCAAATTTTGTAAAAAAATGTTAAGACTTTTACTTGTATTTTACCGTATGTAGTGATTTTGTGAACTATTAAACTATTATAATACAACTATTTTGTGGATATCATAAACTCAACTTAAAATGTCCGGGAATACAGGCTAACCTCAATTTTTGCACAGCTTATTTTTATGAGCATTAAAAAAAAATTAAGGGATAATGTAAAAAAGGACATTAACTTATTGAGTGTCACCCTAACATATATGTACATTAATATATATTTATATTAGATAATATGTTAAACAAATATAGATGTTAATTTAATAACAGTTTAAAACACAATACCATTAAATTGTTAATTATAAGGTAACAAATCAATTTCTTCTAAAATAATATGAAATTAATTTTATTATTCGTCTTCTAATAGGTACATATAATTCTTGATTTATCTATTCTATTATTGAGTATTTTTATATTTATTCTATATACTATATATAAAAATAAACTAAATTTTAATAAATGGAAATATAAACATTTATTATAATAAATTATTATAATATAGTATCTATGAAAGTGGTTACAGAATAAATTTTAGAAAATTACTGGTTAACCATAAGCGAAACTAGTCTAGTTGACTAAACCATGACCTGATATAATATATAGGACTCTTTTTACATAATGAGCATAAAACTTAACAAAGAGGAGTTCTACAGGAATAATATAAAGAAATTATTAAATTTAAACTATTATAAAGTAAACATTTTATATAAGCCAAAGAAATAATAATAATTAGAAAAATAATCCTATATAAAAAAAGATAGTATGTATAATTCCTTACTAATTTAAAACACAATAGTTAATAATCTTTCATTTTATCAATGTAAATGATTATTATTTAGGTCTTATTACTATTAGCACTAACAGGTGTGTAAAACGTGCTTTGTACAAGGTACTTTGCTTTAAAACATTATTTGCACTTGCCTTACCATTTATTAAAAATAAATTCAACAGATAACTGAAAGTAATCTCATATTAGAAATAAATGAAAAGTATTCAAATAATTATTTGTATATACACATAGTCTTTGTATATATGAACTAAATTTTTTGTATATTTAGGCTTTGTACCTCAGTAAGTAATTCATCAAGTCTCGGTGCATAGGTACTGGGTTTGATTCTGTTGGGCTGGGCTATTTAGGGTTTCCTATCTTTTCTGGACCAAGTAATATTTTATAAACAATACGTTAAACACGATTAAAAAATAATAATCAAATTAAATATTCTAGTCTTAAAATGTATAAAATAGTATTATTAGACCTATTACAAGTCTATTCAGATTCTATTGTACTACCAAAAATATATATTATTATTGGTATTCTAACATTCATTGATATGCATTTACAGCTGTATAATGCCATAAAAATAATATTTATGCTATCACTTCATTAAAATTTTTTTTTGTTATGTTAAAAATTGATATTTTTATTTTGTTTTTAATAAAGATATATACCATTGTTTATTGACTTAATTACTTATTTTACATTATGAGGCAAAAGAAAAATGTCAATAACTTTTATAAAGAGTCCTCAAAGAATGGTGAAATAACTGGGTAGGAAAAAAATTTGGTGGGCTTAAGATTTAATTTTTCTTTTTAATACCTCTCTCTAACTGGTAGACTGAGTTTTTCTATTTTAACTAGAACACGACAAAAAAAAAAAAAATTTACAACGTAATACTAAATTATTTTCTATCTGTTCTAATATAAAACTTTATGTTTGTCTATGTAATTGACGAAATTATGTTTTAGTGATTCAAATGTCATGAAAACTTTAAAATATAGATTTAAAGTGCACAATATGAATATTTTTATCATTAGATATTTCTTAATTGTACTCTCTTGTAAATTAAATTCTAGAATTACTAGTCTTTGATTCTTATAACTGTTACTAATTTTATTTTTTATAACTAATTAAGATTATAACTTTATGTTTTGAAAATAAAAAAACAAAGTTAAATTTATAAAAAATATGTAAGCCTTAAGATTATTCAAATTAATTCAATACTTACTTCATAAGTGGCTTTGCGTAAATGGTAATTAACATATAGAAATAAAAAATGTATGACCAACTTATTTAATAATGATGACAGATATTGATTTTCAGCTTTAATAGCATCTTCATTTTCCGCTCTCAATAAATAATCTAAATTAAAAGATTAACATAATTTTTTTAATGTGATAAATTTCTAAGTAACTTTAAAGTTGCTCAATTAGAACCCTTACATTGTATCCAAAACATACATACATGCACTACTTTTTTTATTAAAATTATTATTAAACTGTTTAAAATTTCTATATAATTAATATTCTATTTATTATTATTAAAGAGTAATATTTATGCAAAGTTAAAAAATAAGAATAAAAATTATATATTATGAATTATTTTTATTAGGCTTGGTATATATAAAACAGTATAGTATAAAATTATAAATATAATTATATTTAATTGAATAAAACCATTTTTAACTATTGGTTATTAATATTATAACACTAATAATCAATGCTCCAACTAAAATTTTTGATTAAATGGGCTGTCAAAAAATTGCAATATTTAGACCATTTTTTGCTTTTTTCTTTGAAAGTATAAAAAGTACACATTTTGATAAAACTAATCTAATCACATAATTTAATGAACATAATTTTGCCACAAGTATTGCCAATTTTACCTCTATAACACTTTATAGAGATAGTTTTTAGTCTTAATTATTGGAAAAATTATGCCATTTCTGGTTAAAGTTCACCCTACATTTCTAATGAGTGTTTTTTTTATTGCTTTGAGTATAATAACTTATAAATTTTAATGTTTTTAATTTAAACAAAAACATTTTTTTATTGGTTATGTATGCAAATTAACATTTTTTTAAACACAATTTTGAATACAAGAACAAATCTCATAAAATTGATTTGTGATTTTTGATTTAACATATCCATATTTGTGTTAATAATAAAAAATGTCAAAACTCTTTTTTGTGACTATCAATTTTTGGACATTAGCCTTACAATTGATGATTTTTTTATTCTTTTAGTTATATAGAATTCATGAATTATTAGCCATGTAATACTTTTTAAGTTCATCCCTTTTATTAACTTTGTTTTCTCAAATGGAAACACATAGTTTGAGTTTAATAAAATGTATGAAGTTTTATTTTAATAATAAATAATATTTGAATTTTTAACATAACTTCATATCTTTATTAGATATAAAACTTAAGATAAAAACTAAGTTTTAAATTTTTATATTAATATACATGTTAAATGTATAAGGGATAACAAATACAAGTAGCCAATTAGTTTAAAACACTAAGAAAAACTATTTTAAAATTATCCTTATTCTGTTAGTAATTGATTGGTTTATAATAAAGATATCATGTATATACAGAGTGGAACAGATTTAACTGACAACTCCTATAACTTATGATACAATTTATTATTTTAATTAGATTTTTTTTAAATCATTTATGAATTTGTAAAATATATATATATATAAAATTTTTTTTATTAATTTCAGGCCAAATACTTATTGAGTTACAAGTATTTTAATATACAGATTGTTCAGTAAGTAAGGAAACAGGTTAATTGTTATAAAAAATGAGAACAATAGAAACCATTTATTACTTACTGAACACCCTGTATAAAGTCATTATGTATTAAAAGTATTTAAACTCAATAATTACTACTTTTAACCAAACAAAGTATTTTGTAGAAAAGATCTACTAATTTTGAAATTTAGAAAATTACTTTTTTTTTTTATAATTAAAAGTAATTAATGAAAAATATGTTTTTAATAGTAATGGGATATATCGAATAGTAACTATCAAACTATTTGATACTTGTCCACTATTCAAACTATTCGAATAGTAATAATATTCGATAGTTACACAATATATTTGAATAGTTTTTTAACTATTCGATAGTTTCTTCAAATAATTTTAAAAACTATTCGGTAGCTCCATTTGAAAAGTTTTTAAAATAGTTTATAATTTATGCTAAAAATAAAATATTTGATGATATAAACACAATTTGAATAGTTAATCGATAGATTAAAAATGCCCATCACTAATTTTTTTATTATTAATTGTATCCTATTTATAATCATAGTGCCCTGAATAAACAGTTTTAAACAATCCTATTCAGATTGTTAGTGTTATTAAAACAACAAAACTATAAATCTGACTAAATTTAACTTTACAAATTTTTTTTTAAGAAACATTTTGGTGTAAAATGATTATTTCGAAAATTAAGAATGATTTATATTCAAAAAATTAATTTTAGCAAATTATTTTTTTATTTCAATTTTTTGAGCATGTAAAAATAATTTTAGAAAATTTTTGTTAATACTATTTTAGAAGAAAATATTAAAATCTATAATTTATTTTCTATAAAATGTTATGCTAAGCGTGTTAGTTTTAAAAATAATAATCAAAAACTGAAAAATTATCTTTTTGAGTAAATTTTCAACCCCGATTCAGACCTAAAGATGGTAAGTTATCAAAATTAAATTTTACACAAATAACTTTCATATAATAAAAAACAAAATTGGCGAGTATGGAGTTTGATCAATGAAAATTAATAAAAAAAAGAGCAGCCCTATCATATACCTGCAACTCACCCAGTTCATTTTTTAAAATACTATAACTTCTGAAATACTAGTAAAATGGTACTCTTTACTATTATTAATGATATAATAATTTATCTTAAGTATTTATTAATTATCTTCTTATTAAAATTAAATGTACTTAATAAAAATTTTAGATAGAACTAATCGAATATTTTTTGAAACCATTCGCTAGTCTATTTGAATATTTTTTAAAACTATTTGACAGTTTATGCTAAAAACACACTATTCGGTTGTATAAAAATAATTTGTATACTATTCGATAGTTTAAAATATTTGAAAATGCTCATCACTAGTTTTTAACATAAACTATATTCGGATCAGTTTTTAATATATGAACTCGTTAAATATGTAAGTTGTCAATTAAAAAAATACAATTGGTACAGCAGATAGATATACTAAGATATTTAACCACTCAAAAATTACAGAATACTAGTACTAAAATTAGCTAAAAAAACCTTTCTAAATTATTATTATTTCAGAAAAAATCTAGTGATCAATCATGAATTATTCTATATATAATAAAAAAATTTTTCTTAATGTATACTTACTAAACGGCACATTTTTTAGAGTATGTGGAACATTTTGTATATTAAGCACAGAAAATATCATAGGTAATAAGGAAATCCACTAAAAAAAATAAATTAACTTATTTAACTTTTCTTACAATTGTGGTCCACAATTTTTTGACAATTTTTATAACTTTTGATTAAGCAAATATTTTGCTCTACTTTTATTTTTAAATAATTATTACAGTTTTATATTATGGTAAAAACATATTTATTATTATTATTTTTTTACTTGTTTTAAAATTACATATTTCTAGTTTTTTTTTTTATAAGACATTTTAATGAATCGATAATAAGTTTGCAAGTAGATGCAAGCTAGTTATAGCTTGTATTTACTCATACACTTAACTACATATGCACTCTATTTTTTAAAATACTAGTAACTCAAAAAGTATTTATCCTAAAGTTGTTATTAATCATAATTACATAGTTAAATATCATCATTTTTTTAAGAAAATGACAATTTTAAATTTTAAAAATAATTTTTTTTTTAATAGAAAAATAAATAAAAAATATGTTTTTAATGTAGATTACTAAAACTGTAAATGATTAAAAATAAAAAAATAATGCAAAATATTTTCTAGGTCAAAAGTTATAAGATTTGTCAACACATTGTGGACTATCCTCTATAAGTATACTTAACAAAAATAAACAAAGTCTACTAAAACCTGTTTATAATACTCAATATGATAGAATACTTCATGTCCAAATATATTACCTCTTAAAATTACTGAATATCAGTTGCTGTTTATAAGATAGTAACCTAGATATGTCTCCCACTAAATCTATTTTATCGTTTATTTAATTGTTTTTTTTTTCAGTTTTTTTACTAACTAAACTACAAATTTTATTAGGAAAATACTAATATCATACTATAGCTCTCTATTCATGTTGTGAAAATAATATTATTCTCACTCAGTGACTTTGTTATAAAACAAATTGTGAAATATTACGCTAATATTTTCTAAAAACCTGCAGATATTCTTTTTATATTTTTAAACTTGATTTTAAATAATTTGCAAAAGTAACTCATCAATATATACTTTAATGTGAAATATAAAGTAAGTATAAAATGTACAATCTTACTTAATGATTAATTGTATACAAATAACTATAATGGATACATAAATTCTTGGGAATCTATTAATTTTTATTCTTGATAGTACTAATATCGCATTTTTATTTTTATCAAAGTGGTGTAAAAAAATAGATTATTGCTAAATAAAAAACTATTTCCAAGTACCTTTACAAAAAAATTTAAATAAATTATTATTTTTTACCTATAGTTTACCAAATATTTCAAAATATATTAAATGATCTTGATTTTATTTTATTCATGAAACATTATCAAATATGCAAAATAAATATTTTCCTATATAAGTCCTTGGTGTACAATGAAACATTCATATTTCTTACTTTTTTAGGACTGTATACATTTAATATCGATATGAAATAACATAAAAATCCTGACCCAAATCTTAGCTGTTATATTATTTCAGTAGGAAACAATGTATATAGTAATGGTTTAACGTATAAAAGAGGTAGGTAGAATTTTAGATGAAAATGAGATAAAATTGAAAATCAATATTTCCCATGATTTAAAAATATTTTATATTCATTGAATTATCTTGATATAATTAAGACATTATCAATTAAAATTAATTAAATTAAATTAGAATGTGTTAAATTAATATTCAATCATCTAACTCTTTTATTGTAAGCAAGTAGTACAGATTTTACATTGAGTCTCAGTAAAAAAAAAAAATTAAAATATAAATTTGAAGTCAAACAAAATTTTAGATAAAGAAATATTATGATTGCTGGTAATTACTTACAAAATATAAAGTAGCTATTACACGCGTTCCAACTCGAACAGTACTGCAACCACAACAACATGTTGTTTCTGCCATAATTCTGAAATCAATTATTATAGGCATAACTTTTAGAGTTTTAATATTAACATTTAGCAACATTTAAAAACCAAGATTGATATTGTAATTTTTTCAAAACATATATTTCGAGTGATAAACTAAATTATTTTGATGATAACATTAAGACAAAATTATTTAAATAAAAAAATTATATTTAAATATTGATTTTATATGAGCTTAACAATTTTTTATTAATTTATAAATATATAAGGAAAAATTCAATATAAAAATAAATAAAATTATGGATAGAAAACAACTTTTAGAGGCCAGTAATTAGAAAGTTATAACGATACTAAAATGTTAACTGAGGGAATGTGGGTAAAACTATTTATATCATTAGGCATTTCTCGACCACACTTCTCTTATCACATAGGTATAAACATTTTAATAACTCTTGAAGTACTGGTATAAAGATTTTATTGACTGGACATTTTACAATTTCTCTTTTTAAAAATTAGTTAAATATGTTTACTGCCAATAACAAAATTAATTTGACACCCATATGAGATATCGAAGATGATACTACAAGGTACTAATTACTGGTTAAAAAATTTTACAGAATGATTCACCTAACATGAACAAAAATAAAAATAATATTAATAATTTTTTTATTTATTTCTTTTAGTTCAATGTTTCTCTCAATTTTTCAATCATATAGTTTTTTTATGTTCATTCCTTATACCTTATAAGAGTGTCAACTTTATATTTCAAGTGAAAACACACATAATTAATTAGCTTATTTAATAGTTAATGATCTAGTTAAAAAAATGGCTGGTAATAACAATTTTTAGACTAGTATCATGGAAGTATTTGACATATTCATATTTAGAGGAGAGGAAAAGTAGACCCAGAAAATGTCTAGTTATAAAACTAGCAGCAACCACTCTTCAACTCCAGTAATATTTTAAATTATTAATAACTTCCAAAATACTGGTCTAAAAGTTATTATAGATAAGTCATTTTCTTAATTAGATCAATATCTATTAAATAAGCTAATTAATTATGCATTTTCATTTGAAAAATAAAGTTGAAATCCTTATACAGTATAAGAGATGAATATATAAAACAATATAAGAAAAATTTAACTAAAAGTAACAATAGTTACTTTTTTAATTGAGTTGAATATTTTTAATATTTTTTAGTTTTTTAAATTAATAATATTTTTAATATAGTTTTAATTGTACTTAATTAATTAGCCACAAGTGATCAATTTTTATTATAATTGTAAACAAATAAAAAATATTATGTTTATTTTATTTTTGATTAATTAAATGGTATGTAATATAGAACCACTTTGTATATATAATTGTAACAAAAATATTCAACAAGTTTTTTATAATATTTTATTTATTTTGTGAGCAATTGGAAGGGTTGTGATAAATCGATTACCATGCATATTGTTTGTCCATTTTTACTAATAATATACATATATATATGTACTTATATGTACTAATAACTTACATTTTTACAAATAAAAAAGTTCCTATACTTAATTTTTACAAAAAAAATATACTAAAAAAATAGCAACTTTAACTATTGGAAAACTTACTTGAAATACACTTCTTAAATAAATAATAGAATCACAAAATAAATAAATAAATCCTGTGTTTTCAATAGACAGTCTTAAAAGATACTACTCATTGAGTAGTAATCAATAATTTAAGTAAACATAATATTTCGATTCACAAAAATTTTTATCACAGATTTTAGCACAAGAAAAATTTTTTTTTGATACTTTTGATACTAATATTATATTTATCTGATATAAATAAATTTGGGTATGTAACAATTGATCGGAAAATTAATATGTATAATGTCTTTGTGTGGAAATTTTAAGTAATAAAATGCGCTCTGGTGGAATTGAGTTTAACTGCATTGAGTCTTGATATATTTCTATCTGAAATATAATAAAAATGAAATATTTGTTCCAAAACAATATTTTACTGTTACAATTCCAATATCTATATTTAAAATTAAAAAACTGTATGTTTAAAAAAAGAATAATATATTTATATAATAATATATAAAAAAACCAAATAAAAAATCTAATTAATACAATAAAATACACGACAATGAATATATTAGACTCCGAAACGTTCATTAACTCTGCACTTAAAAAGTTCTTTTCCAATTTTAAATTGATTACAACCCTTTTTAAAATATTGAGGTGATTAGCAAAACAGAAAAAAATCCCTCACTCTCCGAAAAAATATAATATGAAATCGAAAATTATAACACAAAAATTTCATGTTTTTTAACTACGGCGCTATTTGCACATGGAAGATTTGTCGTGGGACAATTTTTTTTTAACATTTAGTTTATATAAAATTATATTAAAATAATGCTTATAAGCTTTATTTTAACATTATTGAAGCTTGGTATAAGCTTCTGTAACATTTTAAAAAGTTGCGATTTTGAATCCATCCCTGTAGGCTGGTAAAAGATCAGATTTTTAAAAAATTGATAAAGAAAGACCTAAGGTAAATATATATATAAAAAAAAAATTACTTTCGTTTATTTTAAAAAAAATTATGGCAGCTAAAATGAAAAAGTTTTAAAAAAGACAAAATTACCGATTTTAAAAATTATAATTTTTTGGGTAATTTTTTTCAATTTTCAAGACGATTATCTTAAACTAGATATGAAATGTGATTTCAACTTATTGTTAAAACAAATCGGTTCGGTGAGAGCTAAAAAAGAGTGACGACAGATATAAATAACTTTATCAGTTTCACATCAAAGCTAAAAGAATTAAAGGTATGAACTTAAGCTTACATATTTAAAGAACAATCTTTTAGAAATATTTAAAAGTGTACATATAAATGAATGTTGTTAAATTAAAACCCCCTTGATGAAGGGAAATGGTCAAATTTAAAGAAAGGTATACATAACTAAAGTATATTAAATGGGTTATTAAAAAATATCGAAATTTATATTTTATAATAATATAAATTTATTTAAAATATCGAGATTTCACTCTATGATGTTGAAAAAATATAAAGTTTAAGTTTTGGATTATATACATTATGCAAAAATATTTACTTCATATATTTTTTTTTACAATAGTAAATTAGATTATTATACGTATAATTTGCTTTAGTAAATAGTATTGTATGGAGTGATCTTAAATTTCTTTATGGCTGATTATAATGCTAATAATTATTTTTGTTTTTTCATTAATAATATGTAATATAGAAAAAATATGAGGAACTGTCGTTATAATATTACGCTCAAAGTTACATTAAAGGGAGAACAGATTCCAGACGATAATGGTTTTTTTAAATGGGTATTAAACTTAATACTAATAGTTAACTAGGAATTCCTTTCTAACCGGGCAGTAATTATAGATAAAACTTATCTATAATCGTGTTTTATAATAAAAACGTTGATAATATTATCTTATCGTTATGATTTGAACTTTAAACTACAAATTAAGAAATTGCAATATAGTTAGCTTCAGCTATCAATACTACATAGTACAATTAAATTTTATGTTTTTGATTTGAATCATTTATTATTTTCTTTTAATAATAAATTTTATTTAGAAATGTCTAATTCAGGAATTCTCTTTGGTATGATTAATATGATTAAAATATTCAATTTAATTTCAGTATTACAATAGCTAAAATCAATGAATTGTAAATATTTTTCAAGTTTAGCTTATCATTTATTTTAAATTAAGCTACTAGCTGGTTTAGTTATTTATTTACTTTTTATGTAATAATTTATTATTTTCTGAATTGTGAAATTGTTATAAAGCCTTATATTATTCTACATTTTATTTGTCTAGCTCTAACCAGTTGGAAATTTTTATTTTTTAAATTTTATATTTAGTATAAAAACCTCTTAAATTGTATTTAATTCAAATAATTTGATGTGTAATAAATTGATGAATTTAATTTATCAAATTTATAAAATTGCTAAGTTCTTAAATAATAGTATTTATATTAAGTAATGCTTTAATTGATAAAATGAGTTGAAAAAAGTTAGTAAAAGATCATTATAACTTAATATAATTATCCACAATAAAAATATTTTTTTTTTTATTATGGTTGTACTTATAATAATTACTTGATTAACACTGTATTTGATTTTTAGATGAATCACTTCTAGTTGATTTTGATTTTCAAGAAAATGATATTAACTGTGTTGTTGATGAATGTGATAGATGTACTAAAATTGGATTTTTACCAGAAATTGAAGCTACATATCTTGGACTTTTAATTCATGTAATGGATCTTACATCTCTTAATTCTATTGATAATAAAAAAACTATTGAAGCACTCGTTGACAAAGTAAATATAGTTAATACTAATATTATTATTTTAAATGTACCATTATTTGTTGTATTAATTTATAAGGAAAATATGAAGTTTTTTATAAATAGCCTACTATTGTATAAGGCATTTAATTTATTTATAAAACAATTATACTGTACTTAATTATGTAAAATAATTTTACTTTAAATTAAATAATATTATTGTAGTTAGTTTTGGACTATAAATAAATTTTTTACTTAAAATTTGATTAAGAAATTTAGTAAAAACCTTGAAATTGATGCTTTATCTTTAAAATTTTTGTATTTCTAATTTTAGGCTTTAACGTATGGCAAAAAAAATTTGAAAAATGATATTGAAAATATGGGGTCTAAGCATACATGTCCAATTTATAATTATTTCTCCAATAGCACATTAATACCCCCTACTGTTTGTGTATCATCTGTTCGTGTACCTGATGCTGTAGAACGTATTAAGCAGTTAGGAGTTCATATAGATATAGCTTCAGGTATGTTATGTTATTTGGTTAAAAAAATGTGTCTAAATAATTATCTGATATCATGTTGTTATTAACAGTTGCTGGAGGATTTCCAATGGGTCAGGTACCTTTAAGTTGCCGAATAACTGAAGTAGAATATGCCATTTCACATGGTGCAGCTGAAATTGATATTGTTATTGATCGGGGAATGGTTCTTAATGGTGATTACAAGACTTTGTATAATGATATTCGAGCTATTAAAAGTTTATGTGCCAATGAAAATGTGACACTAAAAACAATATTGTCGGTGACTGAATTAGGCTCCTATCAGACTATTTATAAATCATCTATGACAGCAATGATGGCTGGATCAGATTTTATCAAAACTTCAACTGGTACGTGTTCTTTGGTTGTTAATCTTTTAAAAAAACTAATTATTTACTATTTTGGTCATTTAAAATTTTTTTTAGGGAAAGAGTCTACAAATGCTACATTATCTCATGGTGTAATTATGTGTCAAGCAATAAAAAAATATCACGAAAAAACTGGTTTTAAGGTTTTTAAATTTATATAAATTTAATAGAATGTTTGTATTCATAATTTTATTTTCACATTTTTATAGGTTGGTATTAAACCAGCAGGTGGTATCAAATTTAATGAACAAGCACTTAGTTGGCTTATATTAGTAAAAAATGAATTAGGAAATGATTGGATGAAAGCGAGTCATTTCCGTATTGGTGCTTCTAGCTTATTAGAAGATGTCGTGAAACGATTATCTGTCGTATTAAAGAAATTTCAATAAGTTGATTATAATATTTTATTTATCTTTGTATTATACACTAAAATGTTAAAATTAAATTATTAATAACTAAATATTTTTATTTTGTTATTTTTAATTAGTCTAATTTTTATATTTTTAAATATTTAGCAATACTTGCTTATCTACTTAAAAATTGTATTTAATATAAACATAATATAATTATAAAAAATTATATATACATAAATTAAAATTATTGTTAGTTTCTACAAACTTGCAATGTTTATTTATTGAACTATTCTTATAATGTTTTAAAGTAATCCGGTATTAAATTATTTACTACATTTTCAATATTAGATTAATATTTAAATTATAAAATTCATTTTTTAAAGTCACAGTAATGATAATAATGATAATTATACACTTATTTATTATATTTACTCAGTAAAAATAAATATGTATAATAAGTTAATAAATTATTTTTTTACAATTTTTGTATACCCATTTTTTATTTTATTAAACAAAATATTCTTAAAGATTTGTTCCTCGATTGTTCATTGGCAAATCCCAATCATCACAATTCTTTAAAATAATAATCGTTAGCTTTAATTTTATATTAGAAAAATAATACATATAAATATTAATAAAGAATGATTTATATATATATATATTAGTAATAAGATGATTTCAATAAAGCCTAAAAATAACAGAATCTGAAATTAAAATTTTTATACACAAAATTGTTTTTTTTTATCTTATTTCAATATTTATTTAAATAACAAATTTCATGACAACTTAATTTAAAAAAATTTTCATAATTATGGAATATAAGCAGGATTCCTTCAGATTCAATTCTATTTTTTACTGGATACAAAAACTCAGTATTTGTCGCATGTATAAAGGGAAAATGTTGTATAAGAGTTGTGTGCACTGACAACTGTAAAGAGCATTAGCGTAACTAAGTAGGGACTCTTTAACCTAAAAATTAGACCCCTCTTAATGTTATACTTTCTAGACCTTTATAAATTTTAGAAATCACTGCTTAATAATTCATTATAATTATCTTCTATAATGTTTAAATATTTTAAACACTTTAGATATACATTATTATTTATATAAAATAATATATATTTTAGATACCTTTATTAACCTAAAATAAAAAATATACATTATCTAGCTAAATATTTGAAAATAAATAACATGATAAACCTGATTTCGATAATGTGACAAAATAGGGAAGTATTACACATAATGTTATTCATTATACACATAACTTAGAACTGTAGTAGTGATTAGTCAATTTAATTGCGATAACAAAATCAAATATATAAAGAAGAAAACTTAAAGCTCTAAAAAATAACTAAATGTGCATAATTTATGCGCAGATATAATTAATAAGTGCCGTAATAAAATATTGCATTGAAAAAAATTAAAGAAGAGTAAAAAATATATTTAAAAGCCATAAAACACGTCAAACATGCCTTAAAAAGAAAAAACGTGAACGTGCAAAAATGTTCAATACAAAATGTTCGATTTTAGTTTAATATAGTATAAAAACCAATTTATTTCTAGGTTGTTTATTTTTACATATAGACAACGGTTTGGTTGAGTTTTAAAGTCAACATCAAAGTTGCTCAAAATAAGTGGAAGAATTGTCTAAATATTTATTTTATTCCATTTTTATTTTTGGTGATCAAACTAAATATTAAATAGTAAACAATTATGTTGGTTGAATTTGATTGTCTTAATGTAAAGAAAATACTATGGATAATTAAAAAAAATTATTGAACCAATAAAATTGTAATCAATATTATTATAATAATACAAAATTATAATTTATAACAGTAAAATACCAATATAAATCGATAAGCTTTATATGCATTTTACAATGTTAAGAGGGTGTATTATTTTGAATAAAATTAATGGAGTGTTAAAAAATGTAAATTAAAAAAATGTGAGGGATACTATCGTCTACATCTTCGTTTCCGCCACTAGGTATGTAGAAAAAGAAATGCAAATTCTCGATGTTCTACCCTATAAGTAAAACTAGGTTTCTCATTTTTAAAAAAGAAAAAACGAAGACCTTTTTTTTTGCCTATCACTGCATATCTAAGACTTAATGCAATAATAATAAGTCTCAAATAATAGTGGAACTTTTGCTCCCATAGACCTAAATTACTAATTACGGCCATGATAAAGTGCAAAAGAAAATGAAATTACTTTTTTCAATTTTTTATCTAATTAGAGTGACTGGTCTTGTTACTGAATATCTAATAAATTTGCGTAAATAGACTATTTTTATTAATTTTTAGTTCAAGATCTTACTACCATAATTGAAAATTTGATATGATTTTCAAATATAATATTAATTAAATAAATATTTAAAGGCATTTAATATATTTAACTTATTTTATATTCAATTGCAAGAATTTAACAGTTTTTTTTTAATTTAATACAGTAGATTTATTTTTTATTTAATATCAATGGAAAAGATAAAAAAATTGAAAACAAAAGAAATTGTTTGATTTTATATTTAAGTATTAGATTTTATCTCATAACAATAAATCTACTATTAAAATTTGGAGTTAAATATATTCTGGATGGTTTAACTATTAGACCAGTTACCTATAGTAAAAGAATCATGTGCATTGACAACACGATACAAGTTTCGTCTAAAAGAAAAAATTCTATTTGTGAAATGTTATATCATGCTTTCTAATATTCCTTTACTAAAGTAGTAAATTGAAAAAAAAATCACTTCAAAAGTTAAAAATAATTAACATTATTGGAATTCAAATTAATTTTTTGAGTTATTTTACTTAAAATATTTAAGAAGAAAAAAAAATATTACTCGTTGTGCTTTATTCTCCATGCAAGTGGCAAAGTTTTTCGAAAATTCACATTTATTGCTATGAGAATCTAAAACAAAAATTTAGAGATTTGGTAAATAGTTCGAGTAAATAATTACAGAAATTCAACTTTACCTAGTTCTAAAGTGTCAAAACATTCGTCTATTGCTTCTTGTACAAATTCTTTTAATTCTACATCTTTTATTTGACTAGTCATTATGCTAACTATTGATGATTTATCGGGTCGAGCATTAGAATTTAACTGAAAATAATTGATAAATTTAAAAAAATATTTACTATTATTCGATTGATATTTTCACTAAAACCACTTATGTTAATTTTATTATTTATCTTAAGTTAGAATTTTAGTCAAATTTTGGATTTTTCCACATGTCCGTAGCATGATATATAAGTGAAATGAAAAAAAAAATTTCTGGAGAAAAATGCAGTAAGAAGTTCGAGGGTCTACGACCCAATCAATTGGCATGTTGAGAGTTTAAAAAAAACGGTAGCACATTGGGGTCGCGGCATAGTATGAACGTGGTATAGTTAAGACAAGTATAGATGATATCTGACGGTGATTAAAATCACTATCATAAGAAACGCTTCGATGCAAATCTGTAGATAGTGTTTAATTTTAAGAAATTTGTAGATTATTTCAAAATCAACAATAACTCTTATTCCCTTATTTTTATCCCGATTAGATATTTGATTTATAATTATAATATATGAATAAATAATAATTATAGTAATTAAATTTAGTATGACATTGATATTCCATAATTTAATATTTCAATTTATACAGAGAAATTATCTTCTTCTTCTTCTTCCTCGCCTTAATCCCAACTACTTAGTGTCGGCCACCCTTATCCTAAACTTCCACTTGACATGATCACCCACATCACCTGTCCTCATATCGCATTTAATAGCATCCCTCCATCTCTTTTTTGTTCTTCCTCTACCTTGTCTTCCTTCAACATTAATTTCTATAACTGTTCATACAGCTTCCGATTCTTCTCTCCTCATAACATGACCAAACCATCTAAGTCTATTTTCTCTCATCTTATCCACGATTGAGGCTATACCTATACTCCCTCTTATATGCTCGTTCCTTATTCTATCTTTTCTAGTCACTCCACTCATCTAGCTAAGCATTCTCATCTCTGAACAATACATTATAGTTGGACTCACTAAAGTCTTAAAGAATTTACCTTTCAGCCTCATTGGAATTCTTTTATCGCATAAGACACCAGTCGCTTCTCTCCACTTCGACAACCTGCACTTAATCCTGTGTCTTACATCCTCATCAATACCACCCACCTTTTGCAAAACTGATCCTAAATACTTAAAATTTCCACCTCTCCTATCACTTTCTCACCTATTGTAACTGATCTTATTTTACCTACCTCGGTTCTCTTTTGTCAAACTCGTACTCTATATACTTTGTCTTACTCCTACTTATTCTTAAATCCTTTTTTTCAAGAGCTAATCTCCACACCTCTAGCCTTTGATTAATTTCCTCCATCACTATAGAAAATAAGTAAAGGCTTAATACAGAACCTTGGTGCACTCCTATTCTTACCCGAAAAATTTCTTTTACTCCTCCTACGCTTTTTACCTTGGTAAAAGTGCCATCATACATATCATCTATTATAATAATTTATAATTATAATATATGAATAAAAAATAATTATAATGATTAAATTTAGTATGACATTGATATTCAATAATTTAATATTGCAAATCATACGGATAAATTATAAAAATAATAAAGTAATTGTATATTCCTTAATTTTAACGAGTATAGAAATCGATTGATGCAATACTTTTTAATAAAAACTTTTTGTTACTTATGAATAAACATACTGGACTACAAGGAGCTATAATCAGAAACAAAAATATATTTTTCTAAATAAACTTTTCGTGCTATTTTCAAATCTGCAATTATACTTTTTCTATCACTTCAAATTTTTGATATTATTACTAATTACATATAAAATAATAATTAAAAGAAAAAAAAATTGTTTTCAAATTATTACTATTTTTATTTTTAATATGTTAAAAATAATCAGTCCAAAATTTCATTTTTTTGGTCCTTTAAAGTTGATGAAATTAAATATAAAAAAATTATATTGATTCGGTTATTTTTAAAAAAGTTATGGCAATTTTAAGCAAAAAAAATTTTTAAAATGTTGAAAATTAGCGATTTTTAAATTTGTAATTTTTTGGGGGATTTCCTCCGTTTAAGGTAAACGGAGGAATTTTTTTCAATTTTTGAGGGTAATGTCTTCGACTAGATACGATTTGTGATCTTTTGACGTAGTGTTCATTTATGTGAATATTCACCATGCACTTCTCATTTTTCTTTAAAAGAATTATTTTGTTTATTCAAGAATTAATACTTACATTTTTTTCTATAAGTATTAACTTACCATTTCTAACTGTTTGAATACACAATGTATGGTGCACTAAAAGTAAAAAATATTTAATTATAAATTGGAATTCTAAAATACAAGCATATATTACACAAAAAAGTATCTAAAAATGATGGCTACACTCATTATTTTTTAAATTTTTGTTCTGCTTATACATAATAATGTAAATTATTTTGTCTTTTTATTTTAAATTAACAATAATAAAAATTTTCATCGTGTCTTATATGGGTGCATATTGTAGGTGGTCATATAATAATATAATAATCGATGATAATTAATCATTAACTGTGGGAGAAAATAAAAAGCTAGGTTCATTGTATAGTATAAGAACATGATTGTATTTCTTTTTTAAATATCAATGACGACATAACCACAATCTTATATAGTATCATCAAACAATATATCACAACGTAAAAAGAAAACATTTAGTGTATATGAAAAGTAGTAATAATGGTTGTGGCCGATGCTACCAACCTATGCCTACAATATTTTTTTAAGTTTCAAAATTTGATGGGCAGACCTTCCCAATTATTCTAGTATGCCTATAAAAAAAGATGTAAGAATTTCGGTCACGATTGATCAACCTTAACACGTACTATAGAAGTGTTTAATATCTGACGTATAGGATAGTTTTTTCGAATTAACTCGATAACATTATACTTACGATACAAATGAATAAAATAACATTTGAATATAATTTTATTATCTATAAAAAAAGTTATTATAAAATTTCACCTAAATTTATTATTTTACATTCGAAATAAGAATTATAAACTATTGATAATACAATTATGATTACAACACAAATTTTTTTCAAAATTACTTTTACCAAAAAAAATGTTACATTATCGAATTATTTGCATGCTAACTGTTTAGTTAATATAATTGTTTACAAATTAGGTATTTACTATTGAATATTGGCCATTATCTTAAGCTAAAAATACATATTATGTATATTAGGTAATCTTTATTTTTAAAATTTAGAAAATTTTTAGTCTAACTCACCAAAACTTTGCATATTTATAAAAATGAAAATATAAAAATTTCAAGTCTATCAGTTGTTTGATCGGTGTTTAAAATTGAACAATAAGGGTAGTTTTTTAGTTATTTGCACACTACTTCTAAAAGAGCACTCACAGGAAAAAAAAACATAAAATATAAATTGTAGATATAAATGTTTTTTTTATGAATTAAGAATATACTTTTTTCATAAATTTATGTTGAATTGATCAATGAAATAATTGTATTATACTTTTCTTTATATACCAAAATTATTTTTAGAAAACTTTTTATTTCCACATTCAGAGAGATAAATTAATTAGTAAAAAAAAAACCAGCACGGTGAGGACGTGTCATAGTTGAGTTAAGTCTAATGATATGTGTCAGTGATTAAAATCACTATCATAAAAAACGCTTCAATGCAAATCTGTAGATAGTGTTTAATTTTAAAAAATTTATGGATTATTCCAAAAGCTACATGATCTCTTATTTCCTTATTTATATCCTGATTATAAGTTTTATGATTTATAAGTGTAATATGTGAATAAATATTTATTATAGCAATTAAATATAGTATGAAATTTTTTATTTTCATAATAATGTATAATATATGAGCTTTAATTTAAGATATATATAAAAGTGTCAGTATTTCCGGAACATTTTCAAAGTTAAGTTGAAAAAGTTAATTTTTTGTAAAAAAGTTGTCATTTTAAATCACTCCCTGTGGGCAGGTAAAGGGTTAAATTTATAAAAAAAATATATCAAATGATAGGTAAAGACATCAAGCATCTATAAAAAAAAAATTATATTGATTTGTTCATTTTTGGAAAAGTTTAGGAAATTTTAAATAAAAAAAATTGAAAAAATGTCAAAAATTAGCGATTTTTAAATTTGTAATTTTTTGGGGGATTTCTCCCGTTAACGGTAAACGAAGGAATTTTTTTCAATTTTTCATGGTAATGTCTTCGACTAGATACGATTTGTAATCTTTTGACGTATTGTTGAAAGAAATCCGTTCGGTAAGAGCTGAGAAAAAGTGGTAACAGAGACAAAAAAAAAACATAATAGTAAAATTAATACTTTCTCAGCTTCGCATCGAAGATAAAACTATTCATCATAAGTTGGGAAGAATAAAATTTGATCGATTATTTGATACTTTGACTAAAAAAATTCAGTATTTTTATATAAGTTCTCTCATAAGTATTTGTATTTGCGATATTTTATTTACTTATTATCATTTTTGTTTGTACTTAAGTGTTTACAAGATGACTAAATACAAAATTAAAAATACTAAAATTGATAGTCTGTCTTTTATTTTTGTCTTAAGTTCAGTTATAGTCCAAGTACTTATTTTAAATTGTAATAAAATATTTTAAACTTAATGTTTAGTAAAAGTGTACGAAAAATCTATGCAGCTATCGGAATAGATTTGAACCTCAATATTTATGAACCGTAGCACAATGCGATTTTAAACGAGCTATATAAATTGTTTTAATAGGTCCTATGAATTAGAGTAATTAAAATGAAATCCGGGCCTCCTCAAACGCTGGATCTTGAATTATGGGTCTAGTGTCTACTACTCAAGGGTTGCGGGATTCCTGTACAGAAATTTTTTGATATAAAATATAATTTAACGATTAAAAAATTCTTACGGCATCCATTTTATCGATAATAGATCCTTTGGTTTGATTTATACCGTTTTTTGTAGCGTTTCTGAAACGATTATTACCCAAGAGCTTAGAACTCGCTGCTCTCCGAATCATATGTCTTCTATATCTTTTCATCTGTAATGGAGGCATTGTAGGAGTTCTCGAATAAGATTGACTTATATCATAATCAGAGTTAGCTTGATACGGATTTCCACGGTGGTAATAGTTTTGACCAACATCTTGGTTGTAGTTCTAGAAAAAGATTAAAATTTAGTTTGTTTCAAGTAGATTAATGAATGTTTTGTAACTATTTATAACAGATGGGATAACTAACCTAGTGCCACTTTTCATTCTTATGAGAACGCACGAGGCAAATTAGGATAGTAAAACCACTCAAACTCAATGTGTGACGTTAAATATAACTATTTTTAATAAATTGTAAATTTTTTATTTGTATATATATATACAGAGTGGCCCAGCATTCACTGACAACTTAAATTACTTTTGATCTAGTAAATATTTTTACTGATTTTTTTTTAAATAACAGTAATACGTTAGGTCTATAATTATATCTCAATAATTTATATTTTTACATTTTATTAAAAATATCAATTATTTTAAAATTTTAAATAAAATGTAAAAAGAAAATGCAAGATAAGTATTTTGTAAAGTAATTTTAGGAAAAATTTTGGTAAAAAAATATCTTATTAATATTCAATAGTAAATAGTCTGTATCATTTTAAAGTTTGTGGAAATTTGAATTTTCACGTGTTATTTTACGGTATTAAACATTGAAATGCGTGTTGAGACAAAAATAAAAGAAAAGTAAGATAAGTAGTTTTATTTCTGTATAGATAAAACTACTTATTAAATAATAGGCATTGTTCATGTTTTTATCTGAACTAACGCCGGTCAATGGAATGTTAAAAATTTTCATGAAAAAATCCATACTCATATCATATTTAGTGTTAAATGATGGTGTTTACTTCTGTCCGTTTTTATATAACGTAGCCAGTGTTTAATACCGTAGAATAAATATAGAAAAATCAAATATTTACAAAATTTAAAATGTTACAGGAAATTAACTACCAATCACTATGGAGAATTTGTTTCATCAAATTATTTTTGAAAATCTATTCTAAAAAATGTTTTTAAACATTTTTCATTAATTTTTAAAATTTAATTATAAAAATGATATTAATTAAATTATTATTATAGCCCTCAAGTATATTAACTATTAAAAAAAAAAATAACAAAAAATATTAACTGGTTAACAAAAGTTATCAATTAAATTGTCAGTGAATGCTCACTCTCTCTCTCTCTCTCTCTCTCTCTCTCTCTCTCTCTCTATCTCTCTCTCTCTCTCTCTATATATATATATATATATAATTATAAATAGGTTTCATACTCCGTCCACATTGCATTTAAATCTTGTTGATTTCTTAGGATCCGAGAAGTTTAAACTCTAACCTCCCTTAAGTACATTGTTATCTATAAATAACTTATACCAGTTTAATAGATTTTCGAAGTACTTTTTAGAGAGAAACCTAAAGACTTATATGTTTGATTAGGCCAATTGTGTATATGAACATCATAAGTGCAAATAGGAAATAGGCTAGTGGCTTTTTCCTTCCCCAAATAGAAAGTTATATACTTTGTTTAATATATTTAGGCGGGATAAAAACATATTTAGCATTACTAAAAATTTTATTTTGCTCCTATGATAAGTATTAATTATGTCAATTATACGCAACCCAAAATTACTAAAAAAAATTTAACTAAATATTCTTTTTTTTTTTTTTTTTTTATTAAGAAAATATTACAATCTGTATACATAATACAATAAGTAAAAATGACTGAACAATGTGTTACAACGCATGAATATCGTGCATGAAGAAGGAGCCCATTGACACCACTTCATAAATATTCTTACAACTAAAACTAATATTAATTAATAAAACATTTTAAATCGTTATTCATAATTAGAAATATTTTAACCATATTAGAATTTCAATTTAAATAATTAAGCCATAATTACGCTCATGTTATCGTAAAATGTGCATTATGTTCTTTTAGTATTAAAAATTTTACTTAAGTGTAACTGAAATTATTTAATTAATACTCACTGGTCTTTGTTGCGGAAATTGACCATAACTGTTATCACCACATGAATAGGATGTTGGATCTTGATCTCTGTCACTATATTCTTGTCGGCGCACACTATACTCGCGGTTGTTATTCCGTCTGTCAGATCCTCTTCGGTCATCCATTCGACTTGTTGTATCTCTTCTATTCCCATCGCCTCCCCGGTCTATTCTTTGACCTGAATTATTCATTAGACCTTGTTCTGACAATGGAAAGCTGTCTCTATCAGATAGACGATGGTTACTCCCTGTTGAGTTGTTGCACTGTTCAGCTAAATCAATAAATTCGCTATGACGTCTCGAGTGGTCTACTGTTCGACATTTTAAACCCTATTTCAGAAATAAAATAAGTATAATCATTCATAGAATAACTCTTCGATGTAAGTTAAGTATTTACTTGGACTCTAGCAAAGATGGTTAATAGAACAGACCATGTTATAACTATACGATGAATGACACGATCAGGCGACATGATCTTAGCTATTACTAAAATCCAAATGTAAGAGACATTTGGATTTTAGTCTTTTTATGCTTCTGAGGTTGACGTGTTCATTTCCTCTTCATTTTTGAAGAGTTGCTCATCACAATTCAAACTGTTTCCTGTTGTCATAATATTATGACATGCTTCTACTTTGATCCGGATATGGTAATATGACATTTCGAAATTAGATACCAAATTACAACAATTTTTTTATTAATATTAAAATTTTTTTAATCATGTTTAACGTCCTCTCTAAAAACTAATGATTGTGCTAGAGAGAATGGAAAATCCTACAATAAATGTACTTGAGTTTTCATTCGAATACGAATTGAAACATGTACAAAATATTTAAAAATAGTTTAAATATTCTTTTAGTAATTTAAATAATTTTAATATGTCAAATATAAAATAATTCTACAATAAATTCAAATAAATTATTAAATGCCATTATATATATATGATCAATAATTAAAATATATATCTGTTTGAGAGATTATAGTAAAACAAATAAAATAATATTTAGCTAACAACAATTATTAGAAAGAATAAATAATTCGATAAGTTAGTAATTGTGTCAAGCTACTAAAACAATATTTATGCTATCAAAAAAAATCACATTATATTTTACTATTAAGAACACGTTTTCTTATTTTTATTTTCGATAACATAGATTTCCATGTCCTTTTTATTTTAGGTCATGGGTTAAATAAAAAACATACATTATACATTATTCTGTATGTTGTTTTATTATTATGTTGTTATTTAATTGCTATTCATAAAGTTAATTTAATAGGTTGAAATAATTTCATATTTTCAAGGATATTTTAGAATTAAGTTAATATAGTTAACCATGTCCAAACAATCTAACTGTAATACTTTTTACAACAAACTACTTGTTACATTTTTTGTAATTTAATTTTTTTTAGTAACTGTGTATTTCTCTTTATTTATCATTTTTTTTTTTTTTTTTTTGAGGTAATTATAGTGAAGAACGAAAATAGAAAAACTTTTTTTTCAAAAGAATTTTCAATATTTTTGTGAATCGTGTTTAGATAAACTTCTTAGTTTTCGTAATTTTCTTTTAGATCAATTCTGTAAGGTATTGAATAATTTTGAAAAATAAAAAATACTTTATCGATTATGGTTAATTATAATCGTATACATTACACTGCTAAAGATATGAATAATGTTTATATAAAATTTAATTTTGGACATTATTATTTTATATGTTAATTTTGTAGTACATTTCACGTCAGAAACATTTTTAACTTTCTCATATTCATGTGATCATTGTAATGGTTATTAAGTAATTATTAAGTGAAGTTAGGTATGAAGCATGCGTTATTAAGAATATATTACTACTTTTTATCTCCTGATAAGTAACTTTTTATAATTTATCTCCATTTACATGACCTTAATCTAGGGCTATTCTGGAGGGATGGAATCTAGATGGTAACCTATGAGAACTCTTCACATGCCACGTTTAGAGTTGCTATAATATAAAAAGTTAAGGATACATAATTAAAAAAATTATTCAGTCGACAATTTTTTCATCAGCTCCCCTACTCTTAATTTTTTTGTATTGGGATGTCATAGTTCCGTTCATAATACGTATATCTAAAAGTATTAAATTATCTTTTTGAATATCCTATAATATTACATTTGTATAGATACAATATTACTGTAATTTATAAAACTATCTTGTTGTTCTAAAATAAAAATTATTTATTTCAGATACGTGTCAGACAATTTTTTATTCTACATCTTTGTCATTAGATTTTAATTTACGTGACATCTTTAACATCTTTAAGCTTCGGTGAAAAGTTAAGAAAGAAATGGTGTGAGTAATTTTTTATTCACAATAATTCTCAGTTCTCATTGGACCAATTTTAATGATAAATATATTAAAAACCTGATTTCAATCCAATTAAACCTATAATAAACAGAAATATGAAAATATTAAATATGAAATATGAAATATTCTTCCACCAACGCGTTTTTTATGATAATATTGTTGATCACTGTCGGATATCATATATATTCTACACTACTGTACTGTTTTTTTTTTATTATTATTTTCAAGTTAAAAAGGGGAAAGAAAATGGAGAGGATCGATGACCATGGAAAAATGGTTGTATTATTATATAATTATCCATGTTTATTTATATTAATGTACAATATTTTAATAATTATTATCATAATGTTGTTTTGGAAAGATTATTCACGATTCGAGAGTTTCAACTTTTTGTGATTGGAATCCAAATTCTGGATGAGATGTGTAGTTATATATTTGTAATTTCCCATCTCCGTCACGGTATCCGTAATGACCACGAACATGACCATTTGCGTCTCTCTCTTCATACCGAAACTGTCTATTTATTCTATAGTTTGTGCATTACAAAATAAATAGATTTAATTAAAACAATTTATTAAACTTTGTGATGTGATATGTTTTAGTTTCATATCGGTTACTTTTAGTATTGCTGAAAACTAACCCATTTCCGGTATCAAAGCCAAATTTATATGAATCAGGACCTTCAATTCCATGCATCTGAAACTCTACTCGTTCACCAGTACCATCTTGAAAGCTTAAATCTTCATTGAAGTGTTGAATCATTGAATTCTCCTAAAACAATTAGTTTCTGTCATGTCATTATATGTTCAACGTAAGTTTAATAAAAATTAAAAATATTCAAAACCATATAATAATCCATGAAGCCCTAAGAAATTTTAATAAAAATATTATGTATGTTGTGACAATAATAAATAAAGGGCTATTTTCAACGAGTAAAAAATTATCAGTACGACTTAAAAAAAAATTGTCATATTTTAGCACTATTTGTAATTATGATTTAAGAATTTTTTTTCATTGTAGTCTAATAGAAAATATTTTTTTTCTACAAAACTAAACTTTTTTTTTCGCCATAGCACCGTCTACTATATCTTTTTGAAATATTTTTGTATTTTTGAAGAAAAAAAAGCAAATGCGCATTTAGGATTAATAAAAACTACGAATAATTAAAAATATGTTTGGGTCTTTGTGAAATAAATGTTATTTTAAACTTAATTATATTGGCCTACTGAAAAAACATCAAAATTTACTTAAGAAAATTGATGGACACTATTTAATATTTCATTTACTTACGGTTTCTTCGATGTTTTGTAAGTTATGGTCTTCGTTTTGATCTGCTGTGATTTCTGGGGGCTAGAAAAAATAATTATTTTCAAATGTGCAAAATATATTCTAACAATATTAATAATAATTTAACTTTAAAAACCTCTTCATTAAGAACTACATTTTTGGTTTCCTGTTCTTCTTGTTCTCCCTGTTCAGATGGTTCATCTTGCTGTTGATTTTCTTGTGTGTTTTCTGTCTCCTCCTCCAATTCTTCTTCGTCTGGAGGTTGTGGAGTAGGTTTCTTTTTTTTCTTCTTCTTTTTTTTTGATTTTTTTTTTTTATTTGTAATAGGTTTCTCTTCTTCTTCTTCTTTATCTTCTTCGTCATTCAGATTCTTATCACGTTCTCGTTGTTTCAATAGCTGATTGAATCGAGTGACGAGATCGTATTCGGCAGGTTCTAAAGCTGGCGGTACAGGCATCGTATAAACAAGTGGAATATTTGTAAGCTGAATGTCACCATTGTAAAAATAACGTCGCGGTACTTTGTGATTCAATGGATGATTGAAAGGTATTATGGGCTTGGTGTGTTGTTGAAATATATATTGATGTATCGGTGTTGGTGCTGGAGCTAATGGCTTAGTTTGGTATTGCTGAGCGAAATGAAGTCTCGGTAAACTATCGTAATTTAACGTTTCATCAGAAACGAATGGCAGTCGGTATCCACTACCAGGTCCCGGTTCGGTGTACTTGATAGTTCGAGCTACAGCAGAACTAGGTTTTTGTGGATATATTTTTGTCACTGGTTCGTCATAAATCAACGGATTAATTAATATTGGATGAGAGTCTGGTGTTGTACTATGCTGCTGATGTTCTTGGTGTAATTGCTGAAGAGGATCTCCGTGGCGTTGATATATAGAGGGTCGTACCGGTTGAGTGTACACAGAAGGAGTCAATAAATCTTGATGGATCAATGGTGGAGTGTAAAATTGTACTCCGTAATAGTTTGTATTGGTTGACATACTGTCATTGCTCTTTGCGTCACGACCGGTGGAAACTTTGGCGTCTGTTTGGTTCGTGTCAACTGTAATGTTATGAGATTGCACACTTACTAATTCAACCTCATGCCCACACCAAAGGAGTATCTATTTAAAATAAATTTGTGTTTAAATTTAATTCGATAGTGCAAGTGTCGAAATATGATTAAAAACAGTATTACTCTTTCAAATGTAATAATGTAAATTAAAATTAAATTTATAATATATAGTTTTTACCTAAATTTCGAAATTCATTTTGTTTTTAGTTGCCTGTTTTAAACTATTCAGTTAACTGAAATGAATATTCTTCAAATACAATTTGAATGGATGTATTTAAGGCAGTTAAGTACTTTTAGTTACTAAGATAATTAATAGCCGAGAAATGATCAATTTTATGTATAGACCGGATTTGTACCTTTAATTGAATAAACTATCTAATTAAGGTTATTTAATTACATTAACGATTCTTTAGTAAAATAGGGAGTCTTACGTACTACAGAGTCATCCCTACAATTAGCGGGGCCTACTGAAAAAATTAAAGGTATAGGTAATTCCTATTAAAGCTATTGGCCTTCTAATAGCTTTCCAAACAAAAACCGGGTACCAATAAGATTTTAAGCAGTACTATCAAACAAACAGTGAAAGTAATCATCAAAGGTTACACTTGGATAAACGTGTCAGCCAGTCAATATGTTAACATTACGTTAATCTCATGAGAGTATAAGTATAGGAAATTAAAAGACACACGGCACTACTATTCAATCAAGCATAAACGATCATAAGAGCCCGGAACCATTCCTCTTTATATAATATTAATCATGTAAACTATATTGAATACAGTAATATTGTTAATTCGCATTATTAAACTAATATCGTGAATAAAATAAATAATAATGTAATATACCAATTACCTGTATCTAATAGTATATTAGTTTTTATAATAATAAAAATAAATATTTTAGTTATAATGAATTCAAATGAGTTTAATTGACATTAAAAGCCTTTTTCGGGTATGTAGTATTGTCTTTTAGTACATTTTTTATATATTTTCAGCAAACTAAACTAATATAAAAAGTAATACATTACTCATTTCCAATAAAAATAAATAATATTAATAAAAATAATGTTTGTAATTAATTCGATACTAATTATTAGTAATGTTTAATTTCAATTTTGGATCACCTAAAATCATATTAAAGGGAAAGAATATTTTATTTATTTTTTAAAGATTTTCATATTAGTTTATAATCGGAGAATATTTAAAATTAATATTTCCTGCTTGATCGAAGCAAAAATTATAGAATTTATTTAATCAATTAATATATGTAATCAATTTAAATGTTGATATTTTTAATGAAAAAAATAAGTAATAGTCAAAGTGTAACTCGAGATTACAAAGTAAAAGTTGATATCTTATTCTAAAATAATCTTATCATTTATCACTTGAAATTTTTGGTAAAGTAGTTAGTAAATTAGAAATATATATAATAATAAATAAGCAAAATATTTTGTTTATCCGAAAACAATAATTTAATTATTTGTAAAAACAAAAATATCAATATTATAATGGAAGTTTGTTAATTTAAAACAAGAGTATACTTTTGTTTCTAAACTATAATTTAAAATAATTTCTATAATTAAAAAAAAAGAGTAAGAACCAATCCCAAATTTATAAAAAATTTGGTTGGTACATTTACAGGGGTAGTATGTAATTTTACCATCTGGTAAACTTTTTTTAGACAATCACTTCAAATCATGATATGATGAGGATAAAAAGTTATATTTGACTCAAATGTCATCGGGATTATTGACTCGAAAAAAAAATCACTTTTTGCCCCATGTACTAACCATAAAAAAGGGATCCAAACAAAACAAAATTATTTTAAAACGTGTACGTTATTTATTTATGTTATTATAATATTTTGGTTATAAAAATGTACTGAGTTTATCAAAACCACTTTTTTACGGTTGATGAAATTTATTAAAAATGTAAAACTTTACCATAAAAAAGTGTTTAAATATTGACAATGAAAAAAGATTTTCTTTTAAAATAGACCTCATTTTTTTCTAACAACTATTTCAAGGAAAATTATTTGTTAGAGTATTTTTACGATAGTTCTGAATTTGTATACAAGTTATAATGATTTGATTGGTAGATTGCATGGTAGATTGCACATTTGTTCTATCATTGTTTAAAACCACATAACACTAACTGTCAAGAAAAACAGCGACTTGTGTATTATTTTGATCGAACAAATTTATTAATCGGATTTAATTTCAAATAAAGGAAAAACTGATTGTGTTGTTGGTATTATACACCCAAAATAATAAATAATTTTCGTCATGTATTTTACTAGTCACGTTGATTTGCACTATTCAGCTACCCTAAATATTCGTTCAAAATGTATATATTTTTTAATTTCTTTTATTTTTATAGAATTGAAACAATAACACAAAACATTATTATCACGAATTATATGAGTACACATATATTTGTAGTTGGTTACATTGATCGTAAAACGATGACTACCGAAATATATTCTTAGTATAATTAGTTGAATTTAACAATAAAAAGAGATCATCGTTCATGAACCAATAATGAATGTCAAGATTATGGATATGATCAATTCGTTCAGTACAATTGAAGCAAAACTTTTAGTATTGATGACTGTATGAAATCAAACGCCATAAATCGAAGAACGCAAGAAAACCTCGATTTTTAGGTCTGTTGCAGACGACAATAATATTTAAGTTGTTTTTTTTAATATTTTACAATATTACTGTCGTCTCACTAACAAGTCAACCAAAACGACGGGCGAAATCATTATTACTCTTGTTACCTCTGAGAAGAATATCCATTGGAAATTTATGATAATATTGTAACAGTTGTTATTTTCTAAAACATAAAGTTGTACCCTCTTAAGCGTTTTCTCATCAATGTTCCGTATTATCGTTATTTGGGTCGTAGAGAAATAGCTGAAACGATTTAAAAAGTGTTTGAAGGGAAAAAACAAAATATTGACATTTTTAAATAAATTCTTATAGCGAAAAGTACTTAAAATAATGAAAACTAGAAAAGCAAAATACTCTTATACGGATAAATTTGAATATTTTGACAAGACAAAGTAAACTGGAATGTCAAATATTCTTTTAATAGCTTATAATTTTGTTGACCGTAAATATTTACTCAATCATTCATTTTTTTAAAATAGTTTCATTACATATTTTAATATTTTTGGATAATTTAATTTTATTTATTGTGTAATATTAATTATAAAAGAACATATAGGTGAATTTTTATCTGATAATAGATGCTGATGATTGTATTAAAAAACAGGAATATTTCTGTGGGTTCCCTCACCTGCTAATTACATTATCTCGGTAATAAAATTAGAATTATAAATTTCCAGATAGATTTTGATAAATATACATAAAAGATTTGCGTTTATATTTTGTTTACTAAAATTTGAACATTTTTTGTCTTAAATTAAAACAAAAATTTTTTCTCTCCAATTATCTTTGAACTCATTACTTTAGAAATATATTAAATTTTAAACAATCATATTTTTTTATTGAAATGACTGTATCTTTTCTAAATATAATTGTACAGATATAATAAAAATAATACATTTTAAAGTTCTTAAAAAGCTATTGAGGGACTTTTTCCCTTTATTTCCTCTCTGGTGAAATTTAATTGAAAACGGGGTTAAAAATTCATTATTTTTATTTTATCGTGGTTATTGTTATTTCTTTTTTGGTATTTCAAAGTTCTATAAAACCCATTTTAATAAGTCGAAATTTTTTCAAATATTTTCGATTATACTACAAAACTTTAAATTTAGGTAAAAATAAACTTGGGTTACTAACTCTGAGCGGTACATCATCAAAAAATGACAAAAAATATAAATAAAAAATATTTTAACCACAAAATATTAGATTTAAAAAAACTGTCATGTAAAATATCAACATGATGAATTCTTTTAATAAAATTCGAACTAGATAATTTTTAATTTAACTTTTAACAAAAATTTAGCTTGAACTATCATTTAAAAAAAGATTTTTGTTCGTCTGATTTATTTCTACCAATTGTTGACATACAAATAGAAATCCAACCGACAGATCAAGGAGGATTAAGGAAGGGCGAACTGCTCGAGATCCATAAACTTAAGGGGTTTATTCTGAATTTTAATAACCTGCCAATATATCTTTTATATATAAAAAAACCCTTTTTTGTCTATCACTTTTCTTGAAATAGCATTTTATAGTATTTTTCCGACCTTGTTGTTGTTATTATAGTTTTTGTCAACTAAATGCTTTCAATATTAAAAAATGCTTTCTTCACTAACGTTTATAATGCTAAATTAGTTATTATTTAAGAAAAAACATTATGTTTTTAATTTTGACTAGATTAATACTTACTAAAATTATGAGAATCATAGTATATGGCCTGGCTTACATTTTGTCTATAAATTCATCGCAGAGCTGTGTTCAATCTATATTGTCACGCTGAACTAACTAGAATGTTGAAATAATTTCCCAACATTAATCAATCGTATTAAAGGCATGGATCCGAATTAGATACGCTTTGTAAATGGAGGGATAAAACAAACACTTCGATCGTGATACTACCTGTTAACAAAAGGTAGTAGGGTTTTTCTCCTTTTAAAGTGTTCTAAATTGAAACGATTTTCAGAAAATGTATAATAATTTATATTTAGAGCGTTATCATTTCAAATTTTTAGTAAGTAAGGCGACTTAATTATGTTATATTTTTTAAATATTATGTAAAACATAGCTTACCGATCACTCTGTAAATCTGTAATCCTTGAGATTTTACAATAATGAATTATCTAAGCCAAGGTATAGATTAAAAATAAAATTCGGATAGATAAACACGATATGGATACTATCCGTCAGCTTATAAGCTTTCTTTGATCGTTTTTAATTGTTTCTGGCATCAATATATAAAATAATGTAGTCTACTCACTATTGTTTAATAAGTCGGTACTACGGAATTTACAAGGTTTTCCTGCAATTTTCACCATTAACTAAGACTTTTTAAAAATTATTATGTATTTTATAGATACTTCATGAAATAATTTTTATTATTTTTTATTTAATACATTTTTTATTGTAATAGATAACATTAAAATTCTTAAATATTTTATAATCTTTAAAAATAAAATGTAGAAATACATGTATAGAGAAGTCTATGGACATGAATACAAATAGAGGGAACTTCCAATGTTTTTTGTAAAATTATACTTATTATTATATAAAAACATTTAGATAGGGGAAATTCATTTACCTTCACTCGCATAATAGTAAAATGTAGTATTATGCGAGTGCCCTTGACCCGAACTATTTAAACTGAAAAGAATTAGACTAATCAATCAATGTTATTTAAAACGTAAGTCATAGGAAATAATGTTTTTTTCTATATAAAAATGAAATACATCAAGTGTAATTGATGTGATTTGTGCAAATGCCATAATTTTAATTCATAAAAAAGTTGAGTGAATTTTACTATTCATCTTTGATGAATACCTTCAAAACTTCTTTTATTAAAATATTCAACAAACGAATGGCAAATTTTTATTTTTTACTATTTAGGGTAATTCATTTACTATAAACCGTTTAATTAATGGAAAAATAAAAATAATATTGAGAATTTTTTATTTGATATCATTTAGGTACATGTTTTCTTCAATTTCTCTAATGTAAAGTATTTTTTAAGTTCATGCCTTATACTTAATACAAGTATCCACTTTATATTTTTAAATTGCAATATACATTATTAACTATTTTATTTAATTGATAATGATCTAATTAAGAAAATGTCTGGTTAATAATAACTTTTGATTCAGTATTTCGAAAGTTAATCAAATTATTATATCTAGACGGCAAGAAGAGTACCCCACTAGAAAACGACTAATAATAAAAATAACAAAACCTGCGTATTACTTCTAGCCGTACTATAAAATCTTAATAATTTGTAAAATAAAGCTCCAAAAGTTATTATCGACCAGTCATTTTCTTATTTAGAACATCACCTATTAAATTAGATAGTTAATTATGTATGTCGCCATTTGGAAAAATAATGTAGATACCCTTACAAAATATACGGGATAAACATAAAAATATATATTATGAATGATGAATTGAAAAAAATATGTACCAAAAAGAAACATAAAAAAATTCTCAATACTATTATTATTTTTCGATTAATTAAGAGGTTCATGATAAATTAATCACTTTTATTGTGTAACTATAGCTATAAGCTAAGCATAATAACACTTAAGAGAAAAAATGAAATATAATATTCATTTCATATTTTATAGATCTATGAACAAACATTGGTCTAATTATGTTGTGGAGAGGAATTATAAGAAAATGATTCATCAGCTATTCTAAAAGAAAAAAGAAAAAATATTCACCTTATAATTATTATTATTATTCACTTCACCCCTTCCCTTTAATTGAGCCTTTTAAGGCTCATTTTTCTTTTTATCTTCTATGTAAAGCTAAGTAAGTATTGATTTTGTGATGATGTGCTTTTTTTTATGTCTATCTATGAAAAGTTTTAACTCTCAACGATATTGTAGATTTGTGTGTGAAAAGTACTCAATTTTAATCTAGTTCATCCTATTGTCACCGAAAATTTGAAAAATTAAACCATTAGATATTAGAAATTTTTAAATAATATCTCAAGATTACCCTACTTTAAAAAGGCATTTTGTAAAAATGAAATAATTAAACAGAAATAACAGAATTTAACAATATTATTTACATGTATACATGTATATATGTATACAGTGAATATAAATTTGTTTGATTATTAATAATAATTGCATTTTTTTAATTTTTTCTATGTAGTACTGTATTATATTCAATTGTTTATACGTTTGATTTTTAGATTCTCTATTAAAACCTGCAATAACATCCTCATATTAATATTTTGAAATCATTTTTAGATTTATTATACTTACTATATTCTCTCTATTAAAAATAATGAAAATGTAACATCAATGGAAATATAATGTCCATTGATGTTACATTAGCAGATACTAATGAATGCTTCCCCTCCACTAACATTTTATTATAAAACAGCGTATAATAAAATAAAAATTATAAGTGCGAAAAATTATTTTTCACTTCTCGATATTTATTGCTTTAATATGGCTCAGGTCAATTTAATACGTAAAGATTCTTTTTGTTCTTAATACTATTATGAGTAGCTTTTGTTGACTTAAAGTCGTTGTGAATATTTATTTAATAACAACAGATACTGTATTATTCACTTTTTTTAAATCGTCTATTAATATTTTAATTTCGGATATCCACATTATTTTACTTTGATTTCCTATTTAATAATTAATTTCACAAGGGCTGCAAATGTTTTTTTGTTGCTCTTGGCTCTTTAAGGTCTATTAAATTATACTGGTTACAATTAATATGAAATAGATAAATCATTAATTAATTTAGAATTTAAGGGAAAACTGACATACTTTACTTTAAATATGTTTGATCTCAGTCCACAGGGTGGTATTTAAGAGGATATAATTGCGGGTCTCTTATTTTCCTAGAAATATGAGCCTTTTGGGGATGGTTTGACATGGTTAAATTAATTGCTACCTGCTTCTAAACCATGCACAACCTATTCCCTGTTGATAATATTAAAAATTATCAAAACAAATTTATAGTTATTTTGTTTAATAATAAAATAATTCCTTTTTAAACACATTAAATTTTTATTGATGTGTTTTTTCATACAGAAATTCATCTCAATACATCTGAAAGAAAAAATAACGAATAATTTGTATGGGTCAGTTTATTTAAAATACAAAATGTTTTATTTTTAATGAACATTAAGTTTATGAGTCGATATGTATTATTGCATATCTTAAGTAACATTACACAGCCATCTACATTGATAAGTAAAGTAACTACTTAGTACATTCATTTCATATAATTGTTTACGCTTATGTTACATATCTAGTAGTATTGCTAAAGTTTTACAAAACAGATGTTTTTTTTCTCTTTAATAATATTGTGAAAGTAAAAAGTTAACTTTCAAAATTATATAGGAAAATTTATTAACAAGCGAAGTCATCCAAATTAATGTTATTGAAAGAATTGTTTTCAACAAAAATATTAGAGCAAAATGGCGCTTTCTTATGTAATACAAATAATGGCTTATAATAATTTTTTTTAGAGATAACGAATACGTATTGACAGAAAAATTCTTTTGTAAATGAATAATTAGAATTAATTATTACTTCTATACAGTTCGATTTCAGCTCGACTTGAAATCTTAGTGAATCTTTATCGGTTCTCGGTTCTGATATTGTAAATTATATAGAATAAAAATAAAAATTTTTAAATTAGATTTAATTGAAATGAGCAAATTACATAAAACCGAAATTGTGATTAATATAATAACAAAATATTAATATAGTTGGAAGACTAAATCATATATATATATATCATATTGCACTTGTACCAGGGTTAAAAATGTGGTTAGAGTAACAGAAGATTTTAGGGTAAAAGTAGGAGTGCGCCAAGGTTCTGATTTAAGCCCTTACTTGTTTTCTATAGTGATGGATGAAATTACTAGAGAAATACAAGGAGAAATGCCCTGGTTCATGTTGTTTGCTGACGATATAGTGTTAATAGAAGGAAATATGGAGGAAATTAATCAAATTCTCGAGGTATGGTGATCAGCTCATGAAGGAAAGGGATTAAGAATAAGTAGGTGTAGGAAAAAGTATATAGAGTATGAGTTTGACAAAGGTGAACGCGAGATAGTTAAAATGAGGTAATCAGTGTCAATAAGCGAAGATGTGATAAGATAAGTGGAAAGTTTTAACTATTTAGAATCAGTTGTGTAAAAGAATAGTGGTATTGACGAAGATATAAGATTTAGGATGAAGTGAGGATTGATGAAGTAGAATGATGCAGCTGGTGTGTTATGTGATAAGAAAATTCCAATTAGGCTGAAAGGTAAATTCTATAAGACTGTAATAAGGTCAGCTATGATGTATGGTTCAGAGTGTTGGCCGGTTGATAAAAAAGTAGAGCAGAGAATGAGTGTAGCAGAGATGAGAATGCTTAGAGGGGTGAGTGGAGTGATTTGAGATGAAGCGAACATTTAAGAAGTCATAAAGGTGTAGCGTTAATCGTGTATAAGATGAGAAGAAATATACTTAGAAGGTTTGGTCATATTATTAGGAGAAAGGAATCGAAAGCTGTGAGAACAGTTATGGAAATGAATGTTGAAGGGAGAAGAGGCAGAGAAAGACTAAAACAGATGTTATTAAATGCGATATGAGTATCGCTGATGTGGGAGATCGTGTCAAGTGGAAATTTAGGATTAGGGTGGCTGACCCCATGTAGTTGAGATAAAGGTAAGACAAGGGAGGAAGAAAATAACATTTATCATTTGTGGCTAATATTATTTAGAATTAAAAACATATTGAAATTACTAATTTAAAACTAAAAAATACTAAAAAAAATTGCGTTTACGTATTTGGAGAACAATGTTACCATCAACAGGGCTAAACACATACTAACACTCCGACCGAAAATATTCCCTTATATACTCCTAGTAATATTATTACTGTTGAATTTATCATCTAGTTATGTTTCATCAAGTTACATCACCTTGTGTATTGTCATATTTTACTATTTTGCACCAAGAATTAAAGATACATCATACATTATAATACATAATGCATTATCATTAAACTTTGAGTTAACAAAAGTTTAATAATGATTTTGATAATGGGCCTAGAATCCCAATAATTTAAATTATTCTATAAATACTAAAATTTAGCTAGCTCATTCAAAATTCCCGGATAATATATAATGGGTGATCTAATTGCTTTTGTTTCCCTACGCATGTAAATTTACTAGTTGCTCTCCTTTCTTTATTCCACTTTTGAGTATGGATTACAATGAAATTTAGTTTTCGTCATACCCATTAAATCAGATATTTCTTTTATACACTTCGTTCTTAATCAAAATATATTTTATTAATAGGAGTATTGACTAATCTGTAAACTATACTATTTAAAGTTACCATTGCGTTTGCAGCTCTGGTTCTAATTATTTTGAATTGTACCTTGTGTGTGTAATTCCGATAAATTTTTAAATTTAGACCCTTTCTAAGCTTTTAACTAGTAAATCCAAAAAAGGTAATTTTCCCTCCTAATTTCTACTTTTACTTTCTGTCTGTACGTCAATTTAATTGGTTGATAAATATAATTAAAATGTCATATGAAAACTTCCGTATTAGAATCTTTGTTATTATTGCAAAAATATCATCTACATACCTTACTCAAATTTTCGGAAACCGCCATAAGGTTTTAAAAGTTTGTTTCGAACTTATTCTTTAAATATTTTGCTATAATTATTGATAACGAATTTCTTATTATTATGTTTTCAATTTACTCGTAAAATTTATTTTGAAATTGAAAAACATTTTGACGCATATATAATTTAATTTAATTTAATTTTTTTGATCTTGTTTTATGTTTTTTTTTGTTCTTCTATTAAAAAAATGAAAAAATATTTTTCTAAAAAAAAAAAAATAATTATAAATAAAGGAGCTTTAGAAAAAAATATTCACGGCTCATACAAGACCTATAAAATAAAAAACTGATTTTATTTAAAGTCAAATAAGGGGAATTCTATAGTAATATTGTAAAATGATGCTTATTTCAATGGTTGCACAAATGATTCAATAATATTACTATAATGAAATTAAAAAGAAAGTTTATTAATAGATAGATTAATAGATTATTAAGTAAAACTATAATGGAGGCTACAAACGTTGTTAATAATTAAAAAATAATTTTTTTTTAATGCTTATCCAGGCCCAGAGGGTTTATAGTGATTTCTCCAACGGGAAGGTTTTCTTAACCATTGATATTCCAGGACTGGTGATTAGTCCGTCACTAAAGAGAAGGATGGCGACTCTAATTACCGAACTAATCCCTCGCTCGGCAAATGAAGTCACCTGCGACATAGTTTCGAGCCCGAGGCAGTTCAAGCACTGCCGCATTAGATTTTGCCACATCGGCCCTTTATTAATTATTAATTAATAATTGAAGAAAAATTCAGATTTTTCATTAAAATTTCAAACAATCAAATAGCTATACTATATGTTTTGTCAAAAATACACAAGGCGAAAAATAATATGAGACTTATTGTATTGGATATAATGAACAATTTAGCTAAAAATTTAGTAAAGGTGTTTTCATGTATTTAATATGCTAAAAATAATTCAGATTGAACAGTTATTTGGCCATACTATTAAAAATAATGATAGGTTAATTTTTTTCAAAGTAGTAGCCTTATTTTTGAATATTGTAATAAATATAACAAGGTTTTCTGAAAGACTGACTAGGGTAACAAAACAGTTTAATGAGTTTATAAATTTAACAATGTTATGTATGGGTTAAAATGTTTTTAAATTTCAAAATTAATTTTTTGATCAAATTGAGGTTACAACAAAAAAGTTCCATTGTTACCATTTTTAGCATTTCTGGTGAGTAGGTGTATATCGCTGATGATGGTAAAATTGTTCCCAAATTATGTATAGGAAATTTTTAATTTTTCTTTTGTGCCTTTTTGAGTAAAGTATTTTAAATATTTTTTTAGTATTTAATAGATATTTTTAATTTTAACTAAATTATACAATTGAATAATAAAAAAAAATACCAATTTTTTGGTATTTTTATATTTTATATATTTTTCAGTTTATTAATTATTAATTATTTTTTCAATTCATTTCTTATGTGTTATTAGGGCATCATTTTTTTAACTAAATTTTTTAATGGAAATATTTTAAATTAATTAGCTAAAAAAAAAAAATTATTTATGTATTTTAATTATTTAGAAAATAACATACAACAATAAATAGCGATAACATATTTTAACCAATTATTATGAGTATTATAACAAATTGAAAACTAGAATGAAGATGAGGTATGAGTTATTTTAAATTTATCTTTTCATATTATTCTATTGCATTCTTCCTTCACTCTAAATTAAAAATGTTAATAAAATCCGCAGTATTAATTTAATGGTGTTATGATTAGTCATTTTGTTATTTTGTGTCATTTTCTATTCTATAAATTTCTTAATTATATTTTTACCATTCAAAAAATATAAAATCGATATCCTTATTAGGTATATGGGATGAATTAGAAATATTTAATTATTGATAAATCAATAAATATATAATAATAAAGAATACCAAATAAATTTTCTGAACATAATTATTATTAAAAAAAAAATCGAATGACTAATTTAAAAAAAATTACCTTATATATTTATATATTATGTCACTACATTAACCATATCAATAAAATTATTCTTCGGTGTATTTGATAATAAAATCGGAATGGGTTGGACCGGAAATATAAAAAACGATGTGAGCAGATCACATAACTAGATCTATTTGAAAAGAATTTTAACATTTCTTAATTTTGAAATTTACCATTCTATTATTTTTAAGAAAATGCTTAGTAAGTGCAGTTTAAAATATGAAATTCGTCTTAAATATATACAGTCCTACTCTGTTTATATATTCAAAGACCACAATTACTGGCATAGCGTCTTCTCAAAAATAGTTTCAAATCTTAAATATAGGTATATCTATATTAAACTGACTGTGCAGAGAAATTTAAAGATATTAATTAAAACAACTTTATCTCTAAGTACAACTGTGCATTTTATAAGTTTTGCTAAATTATTACAGAAATAACTTAAAAAAATTTACAATGTAAATTTAAAAACTAAAAATACATGCTACTAATTACTTAGTATAACGAAAATTTGAAATGTATTTAATTCTAAAGTAATTATTATTTTTATTTATTTTTTCAAGTTCAATTACAGTTGGATCATTATTTATTGTCTTATTAGGTAAACAATATTCATTATACATATATTATTGATATGAATAGTGGTGGTTTATATGGAAAACTGCGGAGACCTATAGCTCTTAATGATTATGTTACTTTGTAACAATTTTACAAAATAACGCAGTCATATTTAATAATAAAGTAATAACATATAGACAATGTTCAGTTAGTAAGGTAACGGGATTTTATTGTTCTCATTGTTGATAACAATTGACCTGTTACATGCTATTCCTGAATGAAAACTTGAGGAAATTAAATGTTTTTTATCAAAAAGCATGTGTGATAATTAAGTAAAAAAATTTAAATAAAATTCAAGTTACATAATATTATATTAGATATTTTCATATTGAGATAGAGAATAGTAAATTATATAAAATATATCAAAATGACATGTATCACGAACTTTGATATGTGCACTTAAGTACTCCTAGTGCGAAACGATAATTTTATATGGAAAAGTTTTGATGAATTAAGTTAAAAATCTTTGAAATAAATTTCTAATTCATTTTTGTCCCATTGACCATTGCAGTCGAATACATGTTTATCATAGCCGCAATTTTAGCAAAATGTTTGGGAAGTGTAATTTTATTTTCTTACTTAAAAAAATATTTCTGTATAAAAATACATGTAGTTTTCAGGGGGCTATGGTTGATTTCATGGAAGTCAAGTCAGATCATTCATTTTTTTACCTCATTTAAAAATTTAAATTGTTTCTATAATTTTTTTTTTTTTTTGAAAAAAAAAATAGAGAGTTATAGAAGTATTCTTCAATGAAAACTTTAAAAATAAAAGAGAAACATAAAATTACTATTATTTAATAGCTGTTTAAATTTAATCAGTGTTTAAGGATTGTATGTTAGTTGTTTGGCACTGCAGACTTTAGCCAATGCGCAAACCAACACACGTTGGTTTGCTTGCTGCTTTAATGTGTATCGATCTTTCACAGTTAACCTTACTAAGTTGTATCTATAAGTATAGTGTTGCGTGGTTTATAGTACGCACACAATGACCTGTTGCAGCTGTTGAAATTCAGAGAAAATGTACTTATTAGCTATGAAAAGTGATCCAGCTATTATGTATTCGTGTTTAGAATATATTTATACTATAAAGTTAATTTTTCAATAATGCTCGTATCCATAAAATGTGTTCACTTATTATCAAAAAGTTTCAATAGTCAGTTTTTAACTCTATTATAAGTAGCTTTTGGCAACTAAAACTATAAAAATAAAATATGTAGGAATACATAGAAAACGGGCGAGGATGGGTAACATTTCTGGAGAGCAATTTCCGGGAAACATTACACATCAAAATTGCTTAAGATATATAAAAAGGAAGTTTGTTCAGAATACAAAGGATGTGTAAAAAAAGACGATAAAAAATATATTAGATTTACAAAAAAAAGAAATGACTAGTTACGGAAGATATTGGTCGATAAAAAACATATAGACCGTAAAAATTCGCGGTAAGTGTTGTATTTACAATGTGTGGTTTGTTTTCACAAATACTAGAATTTTTTTCTTATTTTAATTTTCCTGTTTTACACTTTTATCAGTTTAATTTCATGATGAAATCATTAGACGAAGAAGGAAATTAAAGATATTTAATTGTGTTCCCATAAAAGAAAAAGGAAATCATTCTGGAGACGTTGAATACGTCGGAGTTTCCCTGTAAGTGTTGTAGTAATGATGTTGGTAATGTCTGAAGGGAAGGTATTCATGACTGTTATACAATCTGCTCATGTTAATCACCGACAGGTCTTGAAGATTTGGATGTGATGAATGATAATCTTGGTAGTTCCGGCTGTATTGACGATGGTGCATGGGGAATCTATTCATTGATCGTGTCTACAAAGTTTAAATTAACATTTTTTTAATAATTAATGGGTATAAAAAAAAAAAATTAAATACACTCGTAAATTACAAAGTTAAATATTAAATCGATGTTTGTGAATTTTTTTATACTACAATTTATAGGATATTAATTTGTAAATAATACTACTACATATAACAATAATCAAATTTTTATGATTTAGAAATTGTTGCAATACTGTCATCATGGGTATTGTGATATTAAACGTGACGTAGTAAATTAAAGTTTGTTTATTCACGTCAAGTTATGCCATAAATATTGTGTTAAAGAAAAATTATAAGATACAACCGAAATCTTTTGTCGGAGTATATAGTTTTGTCATTCATTCATATGTGAATTCTCACTATAATTAAAATGTTGAAAATATTATAAAAAAATGTAATTATTTTGCTTGAGCTTAAAAAAAATGTTTGTTATAATAGCAAGTTTTTATAAGGGGCAAAGTGTACAACAGTAGACACACTAGTTGCTGATGAGCTTTAGTGTTGCACCGCGTCTGCCGCCGCCGCAAACGGTAAGGTTACCTACGCGAGTTTTTACTGCGGTAAAAAACATTATATCTCTAGTGCAGAAGGCAACAGCAAACCAGTGTCATCAACCATTTTCTTAGAATTCACTATCTCAACTGCAGTTGACTGGTGTCAAATACAATTTCTGATTCACAACCAAAAAAAATATAAAAGTTTAATAATATTTTTATTAATAACTCAAATAATTATGCTTTTCATAGAAACCGAATTATATTAATTAAGCGTTTTTAATAATTATTATTAAAAATTAAAAATTGAACTAATTTATATATGTTATATTTAGTATAAAATTAATTAAAATATAATTTGTGTTTTGATTGAATAAATAATTTATAAACTATGTAAAATAATCTTACCCTCATCGATGACTGCTGTATTGTATATGCTGGTAAACTAGAAGGAGGTGGTGGAGGAGGTGCGGCCAATACTGGTTCTGGAGACGCTCCTGGTAGAACAGAATCTATAGTATATGGTTCCGGAGACCATCCCACGGTCAACCACTTTCCTATAACAGACATACTAGAACAGCACGCATCTGCTGCAGCCTGTCTGAGACCTTTGTGCAACACCAAAAACAACATGGCGTTTACAAATGAATGACCATTTGCCACATGGAGTGTTACCTAAATTAATTATATATTTAAATAGTTAAACAATAAGACAATTAATTTTTAAAATGGATTTTACAATAATATAAAGCATTAATATATTTCAATATTTATTTTTAATGTATAACACCCAGAATGTTTTTACATATTTTCTATAAATAAAATAGTGAAATTTATAAAAATCATGGAAAATAACATTAAAGATTGACTTCTTTGATTAATCCAATTATGTGACTTTTTCACTGAGATCATTTAATAATATTGTATACATTACTTATTAAATAAAAAACATTTTAAAGAAATAGGATGGCAAATTATTTTATTAAAAATCTCTTATTAATTTTTCAAATAAAACTTTTTAATCTGTCGTAAAAAAACTAGTGTTTGTTAAAACGAACAAAAACTATAATGTTTAAAAATATTATACATGTATTTGTCACGAGTTTACGTTGTATTAAACATTTATGAGCTTAGTTGGGCAGGTACTACATTTTAACATTTTTTTTAAACAAAGTGAAAAAAAGTAGCTAGTGAAGTTTATGAATTGTAAAATAGAACAGTTTGTTTAATACTTATTAGTTTGAAAAAAGTACACATAAAAGCTAAAACGTTTCATTCGATTAAAACTATACGATACTAAACATTTTGAATAGTTTCTCTAGTAATTGTGCTCTTTCCATTAATTAATAAAATTTAAAGATTTTTATTTCTTCTATTGCTATCTACAAACTTCGAATTTGTGTTCACAATAAAGCAAACAATTAAGAGTAAAATACGACTGTTAAAAAAGGATGAAACTAGCAAATAATTTTATCAAATTTCAATTTAGGTTAAGACAAATTAAAGTATATAAATAGTTTGTACATGATAACTGCATTTTTCATGTATTTATCGGACAGAAGAGTAGGGGACAAAGTCTGCGGTATTACCTTTCTATGTCATTTATTTCATCATAAAAAATACAATAAGAAAGGTTTAAAATTCCCGAATATTTAAGATCATATAGTTTTATATAAAAATTTTTATAAAAAAATTATCAACTTCGTGTCTTAGAAAAATAATGTTTTATTGTAATTGATAAATAATACATTTTTAATAAAAAATTTGAATTTTGCACGATTTTCCTAAGAAACTTTAGAAATGATAATTATTTACTTGTCACTTAATATTATAAATACATGTCTTATACTTGGCAAACGGCAAATAACTTTTAAAAAATTATAATCTATATAAAATAAATTCTTTCTATGCTTAAATATTTTTAAGGTACTATCAAATAATATTGATTATTTAAATAAAATTTATTTTCACAAATAGATTTAGTAGGTAGCACCATAAAACTTTAATTACTTCTCTATTACTAGTAAAATGTTTTAGTGTTAAACTCATTGTGTAGGTTATGCTTATTTTATAATATTTAATGTAATTATATAACTATAAACTTTTAGGATATGAAGTTTACTTCATAGTCAGAATGATTGCCAGATAACGGATGCTGCACCAGCGTAACAAAAAATAGCGGTCCCCAAAAGATCACATACGCTGCAGTAATCACCACAAACATTTTGACCTTTTGAACGCCTTCTCTTTCAATACGCAACAAGTAGTTTCGCATCCTTTGGTGTTCTTCCACCGCACCTAAACTTCTCTAAAAATACACACACGCGCATTAAATATATGTTCAAAATACAACTATGCCTGAGAGTGAAGAAATAAATGAGTATTTTTAACATGTCAAAGTTAAAAAATCATTTTTATTTTTAATAAATATTAGTTTGATAATAACGAGCTGTAAGACACGTATCACATTACATTTTAAATTGAAAAAAGAAAAATTTACTTGTAATAAAATTTTGCGTAAGAAAACATTAAAACTCGTTTTTTTTATAAAAATAGATTCAGCTGAATTATTGAAAGATTTACGCCACTATTCGTGACATTAACTAATAAATTCATATTATGATAATTGCAATAAACAATACAATCCGCTATAATTATTACGTAAACAACTTTTTAAGTACAAAATATCAATAAGTTTACTTTTGGTACTCTTTCTATCAACGAAACAAATTTTAAAATATTATTTCTTTAAACGACAGAAGTCATAAATGACGAAATTATTTCATTATTTGAACACTTTACAATGGCAACAGATTGTTGACGTCGCGGAACGCTGTTTATAATAAAATATCGAACCCCATACACTTACTATTTTTATAAGCTAATATTAATTTTCATATCATTGAAATCAATTTTACAATGTACTAATTAGATAGCCAAAGTCATTTTTCCAAAAAAAAGTTTTCACTTATAAACGATTATTATTATTTATAAATTGTTAACAAAACAAAATCAAGGCGATGATAAATAATTTTGATTTCAAAATGTTAGCTACTTACTCGAGAAGGATACCGAGGATCAGAATAATTATTGCCGCCGGTGACATTAACTAATGTTGTAACTAGTCCTGCCACCCTGACAGCCTCAACATTAGCTTTAGTGAGGTCCCTGTGCAATTTGCGTAAGTGAAACAATGTTAGTAATACACAAAGAAGGTTTATAATTATCCAAAGTGCGTTTAGTATGTAATGCCGAAACGGGCCGTGTACCAATGGACAACCTGGACGATCTCTGGCCACTTCAGCTCCGGCAGACAGAGCACCGCTCATAAATGTCGGTCCGAGATTAATGGTAATGGCCGCAAACCATATCATGCACGTGCCAAATACGACACATTGCGGCGAATCCAATAGTAGAGGTACTGAAGAAACCTTGACATTACATAAGCATTTTTGCATAAAGTTGGATGTCTCGCTGAATAGTAATTATTTTTTATTTAATTATTAAAATCTTACATGATATCCGTCACCATCGTCATCATCCGGAAATACGGGTGAATCGTTTAGAACGATTGTTAACATGTTTATAGTGGAGACGGTCACGAGTAGAAGGAAAGCTGTTTCAACTAAACTGCATTTTTTTACTGGTACGCAGTAGAGCAAACTGTGAGCTAATGGTATTAAAATAGCTGCTCTAGCGCAATCCACCATGGCCTGATGGAATAACAAACCCTGTGACCACCTAGGAAATAGTATTAATTGAAATTAGCATACATTGATATTAAATAAAATTTTACTTTAAAAACAACAGAACATATTTAACACTAGAAGCCAGCATGTGTTAAGAACTGATGATAAACACATATCTGTCAAAATCTGTATACGTAGTTATTCATCAAATTAAATTAAAAATGATTGGTAAATTTATCATTTTTTTTTTTTAATTATTTCACCAATATGAAAAAAATTCCATATTTATATAAAGTATAATGATTTTATAAATGTAAACATTGTTTAAAATTTAACTATTCAATTTACTCCGAATATAAGTCTTTTTCAAGTTATTTTAATTAACTAGGAGTGGTTACAGTAAAGAAGTAACTTCTCTTAATAGGCGTTTATTTATCGCATTAAACAATTATATTTTAGATAACACTTAAAAATGTTTAATTTGTAAATTAAAATTTTTTTACGGTGTTCAAAAATGTTTGTCCATATATTTTGTTATTAAATATATTTTTTAAATCAAAATAAATTATAGTAAAAACTTAAATGTTTTTAATTAAAATAATTTTTTTTTTATAGCATAACAATAGTATCACTTTATTAGTAATAATATAAAGTTATTCTCTGTTTCGGATAAGACAATCTAAATTATAGAGACGGATTGGAAAATATAAAAGCTTTTTTTTATTAATATACGAGTAAGAATAATTGAAAAAAAAACGTTAATAAAATCTCCAGTATTAAAAAAACTTCAAAGTCACGAACTTGGATTTTTGTTTAGTTCACTGAAAAAATAGATTAGTAAAATTTGTGGGCGGAATGTCAATTTCTTCGCGTGTCTCAAAGGGGTTATTTTACAAAATTCGGATGGATTTTCTTTATTTGAAATACTCTCCTTAATTTTAAAATTACATTAAAATCAGAAAGAGCTATATAGTATTTTTATGAATTTAAAAAAAAAGGTATCTATTATTTTCTTGTAATTTGAAATAGTTTTTTATAAGATCAAGAATATAATTTTAATAGAAAATTACATGGAATTTATTTTTCTCTTGCACTGTGTTAAATTTTAAAATTGTGCTAAAATTGTACAGAAGTGCTAATATACACCACGTTGTTGTCTATAAAAATGATTATTTAAATTGCATTTGTATTATTAACCCTTTCGGGAAAAAAAAACTATGAAAAATATAGGATATTTTAAACTTTTTTTGTATTCAAATATTTTTTAGAGTTAAACAAGAAAAAAATATGTATAAATAGCTCTGGTAATTGTACATAAAATAAATGCTTACATCGAAATAATTTAAAAGTATAAATAAATATTTATAGAGATAAAATTTTCATTAGCTTTACATTAATATATTACAAATATATCGCGAAAATGTCAAAATAATATTAGAAATTAATTTAATTTAGTTGATTAACTTTTTTTGTTTATCCATATATATGTATATTTACCATTAAAAACGCTTAACTTTAAGGGTACCTATTCATTTATAAAATATCTAGGCAAAAATGATTTTTGATTGAAACAATAAAAAATCAAATTATGGTGTCTAAAATGCCATCAATTATCTAAACGTTTTATTTTATAGCATGCAATTTATCATGTTATATTTCTATGACTAGTGTACATTTGTTAACAGATGAGTTTTTAATTTCTTTGAGATGGGTGTGTATTTCATATACCGTGTTACTAATTTAATAAAGTTGTATGAATACTGGATAAAAATCAATCCAGGATCACTTGAAAAACATTATAATAATTTTTCTGACTAATTATATTTATAAGTTTATATTCAAAGTTATCGGAAATTGGTATAGTTTAATTATTTTTTTTACACTCGAATAAGTTGATAATTATTACTTTGAACATTATATATAAATTAATATGAATTCGTATATTAAATTCTATAATTCTTATAAACTTGTTTAAAATAACGCTAATAGTACAATTAAATGTATCGATTTATTACTTGACGGACATCATTAAATATTTTCATTAAGTTCTTACATCAAAAAAGTTTCAACTTTTCAAAATTATTGAACGCGTCCATGAGAAAAATTCTTAGCTAAGTTTTTCTTAATTATAAGCGAACCTTTAATTTGATGAAGTTTCTTTCTATTTAATGGATGGTTAATTTTATACTTTTAACTAAGGTCATGACTAGGGCTAGGAATTCGTAGCTTTTTTTTTCTTAGTACTCCAACACATTACTCAACAAATACAAAATTCGATTCACACACCATAGAATTCAAATATACATTTTTTTACATCTTTTTGTATTTTCTTATGATATTTGTTAACAAATGTATTTTTGGTACTTTTATGTCAGTTTTTTAGTTTTTATTATTAGTTTTTGATAATTATATGCGATTATGGAATCTTTACGTATGTTTATGTAAATTTAATATAAAATTACTGAAGATACTTTTCTTGTTTATGTATCTAATGAATCATTATTGCCCTATCGGTGTACATTTCTGAAAATAGATTCTTAGAGTTTGTCAAAGTGACGACTGAGTGGGAAGTGACGTTGACTGTTTGGACTTTAGACGCATTGAAAGATATTATGGAACGATATCTACTGACTTGTTAACTATGTTCAAATTTACAATAATATTATTTAGTATTCACTCTTTATAGGAATTTTGGTGTTGGGTGTTAATTGATTTGAGTTTTGCCAAAAAACTCGTATTATCACAGTTACGGAATCGGTACTTAGTAGTCGTTATTACGTTATATTAGCGAATGGTGTAGGAATTGTGTTTTGTTGGAATTTATTAACATTTTATAATACTAAACATAAAAAATCGTTGGCTTGTCGTTTACGCGCATATGCAAGTAAATTTGGCGATGACATTTTTATCGCTGACGGCACAGTACTTAATTGCAAAACTGCGATATAAAAGTTTCAGCTGAAAAAAAATGTACTGTTGTTCAACATGTTGCACGTGATATAGATATAATGGATATAGAAAAAAAACAATAAACAACATCTACATCTCAGATTCTATTAACCAGCCCATCGTCAGCATCAATTATCAATTGCGATCTTTGCAAGGCTCTACTATACAGAAATATACCACATTTTAAATGATCTCAACGGTCTTTTTGTTTATTTTTGGAAAAGAATACAAATAATATCATACAAGATCAATTCACACTGCATAAAAAATATTTTAAAGAATGTTACAAAGAAACAATACTTAAGAACATATGCATCAGAAAAGAAAACATGGGTATCCATAGATGAGACGACTTATGCAGCTGGTCGTTATGTAGCAAACGTAATAAATACTTTAGGAATCGACTGCCCCGGTAAAATATTTCTTTTAAACTCGGAAGTTTTGAAAAAAGTTACCTACAGTACAATATATCAATTATTTGAAAAGTCGCTATTAATTTTATGGGCCGAAGGAATTAAGCGAGAAAATATTTTATTCGGATACAGCAACATATATGGTAAAAGCTGGCAAGTCTCTTAAAATATTTAATCCTAAAATGGAACACATTACTTGTATAGCTCACGCATTGCATCGAGTATGTGTAGAAATGTGATTACAGTTTCAAAAAGTTGATGAGCTGAAATCAAGTATAAAAAAAATATTTTTAAAACCTTATTCCCGAAAACAAAATTTTTGAAATATTGCACCAAATATTCCTTTACCTCCAGAGTCCTAAATACAAAGTGGGGTACATGTATCAACATGAAGATTTATTATTATGAACATTTTTCTTTAATTAAACGTGTCGTTATGGGATTAGACAAATATGATGCTACTACAATAAAAAAAATCCATAATTTAATAAAAGATAATCTAGAAAATTTACTGTTTATAAAATCAAATTCGAGTTCTTTACCTAATGCTATTTTGAGTCTTGAAAAACAGGATTTTTTCTAATTAATTTTTTTTTAGAATGATTCTGTTTAATACAAAAATTATTTCAATTTTAAAATATTAACAAGTTAAAGAACACACTACATAAAGAAAATTATACATATATTATTTTGTATTTATATTAACTTATACAATAAACGTGTATCTAAAATTAAATAAAAAAGTTTTTAATTTATTATTTTACATAGACATTAAATTAAGGTTATGGTGTGCAGCAAGACAAACCCTTCTCAACTTAATATATACATAGATAACGCACGCATAGAACAAGTCCAACACTTTAATTACTTAGGAAGTAAAATAACGGAAAATGGCCGTTGTAAAGATGAAATTCTAAGTAGAATAGCGCAAGCGAAGAGGGCTTTCCAGAATAAAAAACACCTACTAACCACCAATAGTATGGACTTAGAGGTAAGGAAAAGGTTCTTAAAAATATATATATGGAGTATTGCCTTATATGGCTGTGAAACCTGGACAATCAGTGCAATAGAGAAAAGAAAACTAGAGGCCTTTGAATTGTGGTGTTATCGTAAAATGATAAGAATTAAATGGATTGATAGAATAACGAATGAAGCAGTATTAAATAGAATAAAAGAAAAGAAAATACTATGGCATACCATAAAAGTTAGAAGAGCTAAAATGATAGGACATCTACTACGCCATGAGAGTATAACAAAAACCGTCATAGAAAGCGACGTTGAAAGCCATATAGGAAGAGGAAGACCAAGGATGGAGTATATGAAGCAAATAATAAGTGACATGGGGAAGAATAGTTATAAAGAACTAAAGGAATTGAGTAATGATAGGGAAGAATGGAGAACTGCAGCAAACCAATCTAAGGATTGAAGACTGAAAAAAAAAAAAAGACATTAAATTGTATTTAGGTATTTCAAAGATTTAATTTATTTGAACATAAAAAAATGTGTCCAGTAATAAGTTTTTTTTTGATATTTAAAATTATTCTCAGCTGAACTTATACATTTTAAAGTCATTATTCAGTAGCATTTTAATAATTAAAATGCATTTTTTTACAACATTAGCAGTAATTTTTTAAAGCTGTCACGGTACCGTGTTTCCCTCAGCCACACATCACGTTATCAACCTAAATGAAAGTGTATTGGGATCTGAATTATAAGTGCACGGTGGCCTAGTGATAAGGTTTGTCTATACGACGCCTTGGGTCGCGGGTTCTAATCCCGTACCGTGTCTCGTTTTTTCACATGATTTCTGGTACACTTTCTATAACCGGTCGTCAATCCTCGGCGGCCGTGTTAAAGCCAATAGTGTAAGTTTTTTGTGCATCATTTTCCTAGCTCTAGTCATAACTTGTGAACAATTTTTAAAGTTAATGGAATTCATCTCGATTTTGGCGGTATCATCTTTAGATATAATAGTTGGGTTTTAGTAGAAGTGTATTCTTTACCACTAAGAATATTAAATGTTTTAGTTGTAGGAAAATATTTATTTTTCTGCAACTACTATTTTACGGCCTATTTTATTTAATTTTATAAAGTTATTTTAAATCTTATGAAACAACTTTGAAAAATTATTGACAATTAAGGTCCTAAAACTCTAACTGTAATACCTTTATTTAATACTTTTAAGACAGTAACCAAATGATTATTATCAGCAAATTTTTTACACTAGGGCTTATTATTATTTTTGTTTTGTGATTACATGAAACTTTTTTAATTTATTGTAATATCTTTGTACATTTTTATGCTCACATTGAACAGAATTTTGCAAGTCATGGAAAACCACTCTAAACATATGTAAATGACAAGAAATAACTGTCGGAGCATATGATAAATGGTTATTGAACTTTAACAACTATTGTACTACTATATAAGGTGTTCAGTAGGTAAGAAAATGGATTTCTATAGTTCTCATTATTTGTAACAATTGACCTGTTTCCATACTCACTGAACACCGTTATCAATATTTGATTTTAGATATATCTTAACCAACTAGAAATTTTGAGTTCGTTAATAACATGGAATTTATTTTTCTCTTGCACTGTGTTAAATTTTAAAATTGTACTAAAATTGTATAAAAGTGCCAATATACACCACGTTGTCGTCTTTAAAAATGATTATTTAAATTGCATTAATATTACAAGAAAAGGCGAGATTATTTTCTTAAAGTTTATATGTTCATTTTAGACATTTTTGGTGGGATTTTCTTTTATTGATTGGTCATATGTAAATCAATATTCTTAAAGTGCAAAAAACAATATTTCCGAAAAAATTTTCTCGTGCCTTTTTGGTAAACAAATGATCAAACATTTAAAAAACTTTTGGTTTTAAACTGTAGAAGTAAAAAAAAAGTTTAAATGATGTATTAAATCTGTACTGTAGTTTATAGAAATTATTATTATTATTTTTTAAATATGAAAACAAAAGTTAAACCGATTTTATTTAAGGAATTTATAATTTATTTTAATTCTTCATATATCGAAATATCTCGTATTTAAAAAAAAATAGGTAATACATTATTTCATTATTGAATTTCTGTTTAAAATACCTTTTGTTTTTATCACCCTTTATTTGCTGTAAACAAATTATTTATAAATGATCAAATAGGGATATTTCAATTGAAATTATTCAAATCATAATATAGTAACAATGTATGCAAATTATTTTTGACAAGCTCTGAGAAGTAAACAATTTGTTTTGATTTATATAAAATAAAGAATATTAATAATATACATTTATTTTTATCGAGTTTTAATATATTTATCAAACTGTTTTTTTAATTTAATATTGTCATAATAATGTATATTGTAATATACATTACAGTTATTTATAAAATAAAACTTATTCAGTAATACAACACCGTTTTATACTATTAGTCAGATCTTTGTTATAAAAGAAAATTCACAGATGTCTACAATAAAGTGGTCATTTTTTATTGTTTACATTATTCAGTTAAATATTTTTAACATATTTGTGTGAAAATATTATTAAAGTTCTTCAAACTTATGGGAATCTTATTTTTCTTAGACTGTTTTTTCTATTATAATTTTCACAAAATACGTTTTTATGAAATACATGATAAATCTAAAAAATCATTCTTTTACAACAGTTGTAGTGTATTCGGAAGTATTATTGTAGGTGTACACACAACTAATACTATTGTAAGTAACAAATCAAAACTGATTTGAACGTGAGTTGGAAAATGATGATTTAGTTCAATTATTAAACTTCCGTTCAATATTGACGTTGGCTACAATTTATCGCTTTTATTTTCTAATAGAACCTTATTATTCTCAGGGGTATCATGCGGTAAATACATTACATAGACAATAATAGAGTACTTATATCAAAATGACTCAATAATAAGAACTTTCATAAAGAATTAAATTTTAATATTCAAACAAAAATGGAAAACTAAAAAGTTTCAAAATAGAAACTGTATACATAATTATTTTATGAAAAATTATTATCTAGTTACTTTTTGTATTTTGCTTTTGGTGAATTTTATATTGAAAAAGGCCAATGCATTGACTTTTTGATCACCACTACAGGTTGATCTTAGCTCATTTATCCATATGATTTCTGTTTTATCATTATAATTAATAATGAATTAATGAAGAAAATAATAATAATTATTATTTTCTATAAATATTATTAACTTCGATTTTCACCAATAAATTATTAAAAAAACAAGTAGTGCCTGTTTAATATTCTTAATGGGACATTGTCATAAAATTGTACACATAGATTCTAATAAAAAGAACAAATAAAAAACGAATGCATCATAAACTACATACACAAATAGTTTTTTCTAAACACACATACTTTAACTGCAAACATTTTCTTTACTTCAGTACTACGGTTTGCCCATGTGAGACTTTTACTATTTTCTTTTACATAAAAATGCTCTTTATATGAATCTGTGTAATGCGTAGTGTAAGTAAATGACATGCGACCTTTAACAAGTACACGTGTGTCGAAAATATAAATGGACTGTACTCGTATAATGCAGACAAATAATAACGTTTTACTCTATGAAATTTAAAAGGAAAGAGAGAAAAACGAGGTGTTTCGTTTTGACATTGTCAAAAGGCTTTTCTCCGCGAATAAAATTAATTGACTTGCGTTCACATACGTCATCTACAATATAGGAATAGAAGCTTTTGAATCCCTATATCTTTTTCTTTACTTTATGGTTATATACCAAATACCACGTCATTAATATACATCTTTACATCTATAGCTTGCGGTTAGTTGTACTAAATTTTAATAATCATAATGAACTAACTATTCAACTAAAAATTTTCTTAATGAGTTGGCCAAAAATGCATGGAAGAATTTAAGAAAGGTTCTTACAAATATTTAAAAATCTTGAAAAATATTGTATACTTAGCTCTTATGAAAAATATTTGAGTATCATTGTGGTCAACATTTCTAGTTATTTTTTACTTTTTATGTTACATTTCATAATTAATCATGATAGTGACGACTCTTGACTTTTGATAAACGGCGTAGTACTTTCATTTAATAAGATAAGGTTTATGAAAATAAATTTAATTTGGTTACATTTAATTATCCCTTTTCTGTAGTAATCATCTTAAAACTATATAAGTTATTATTTCATTAAATATTTGGAGTTCATTATTTATTTAGTATAGAATTATGACTAAGATAAGTAATATTATCTAAGCCTCGTTAAATATGTATTTAGCTATAAATAAAAACGGAGTCCAAAAAAATGTATAAATACGAGTTGTATTCGGTAAATAACTGGAATTTTCGTTTATGAAAAAAATATTTATTTATTCGTCTACAATAATGTTGTCGCCTTCAAAGTCCCCATTTCATATCATGCACTTGTGCCAACGCTTCTCAAACTCGATCATTGGGATAGTCTTCAATTCATTCAGTAATGCTCTTATAAAACGATGGCCTTTTAAGTTTCTCTTTATTTTTGGAAGTAGAAAAAAGTCACGCTAAGCCATGTCTGGCGAATATGGAGGTTGGACCATCGTTAAAGAATTTTTTTTGACCAATATTTTACGAACAAACAATAAAGTGAGAGCAGGTGCATTATCGTGGCGCAAAAGCTACGAATCCGCTATAAATCCAAACGTTTTTTCAGATTGTTTCACACAAACGGCGTTGAACTTGTAGGTAGTACTCTTTATTGACTGCTTGACCTTGTAGCAAGAATTCACGATGCACTATGCCATCAAAATCGAAGAACATAGTGAGCATAACCGTCACGTTTGATCGCACTTGTCGAGACTTTTTTGGTATTGGCGATCCAGAATGACTCCACTGAGACGATTGAGACTCAGTATCGACGTCGAATCCATAAATCCGTGTGTTCGTCACACGTCTCAGTAATTCTGCATCGTCGTTGACTTCATTCAGTAACTCTTGAGCAACTTTCATTCGCCATCGTTTTAGTAAAAAATTCAACAATTTTAAAACAAATTTTGATGCTATACGTTTCATACTCAAAACATTCGAAAAAATTTCATGGCATGAGCCAATTGATATTCTAACATCATCAGCGACTTCTCTAATTGCGATTCGGCGATGGTTCATAACAATTTCTTTCACTTTTCTTAATTTTCATCGGTTGTTGATATGCTGGGTCGTTCGTCATCACGGCCATCTTGAAACGTATATACCACTCGTAAACCTTTGTTTTACTAATGGCAGAATCACTTTATTTCATTTTTTGCGCAAAATTTGATCCATAATTTTTAACAAACGGAAATCAACAAGCTCAGAGAAACACGTCTAACCTTAGCGGATGCCACTGACAAAGTAAAAAATGAATCCAGCTAAAATTGTTATCATACTTCAGGAACAGGAGTACCAATATTACGAAATAAATTTTGATAATTGGACTCACCGAACCCGTGAAATTTAAAAATTTCCGTTATTTTCTGAATACACCTATATATTCCTATAATCTTATGAAGTTGATTATTACAATATTAAAATATTACAAATACAAGTATTACATATTGTTTTATATAAAAATATGTCAAATATGATGATGTAATGACGAGAACAATCTATATTTACAATGACAAAAATAATAAAGAAAGATAAAGATATACTAAGATTATGTTTGAAAATTACCTTCTTAAATGTTTGTTAAATATTATGAGAGCCATTAGCACCGAATTAGCAATTATGCCCAAACTGACTAACGTTATAGTAATTGTTGCTTCTGAATCACCCTGTGAATGACATTGAAATGCTTTGATACTGCCATTGTAAAGAGTACCATTTGAACCAGGCCCCCTTAAGTTAGGTGCACCAATCATCACCTCTATTCAACCTGTGAAAACAGATTGACTATTTTTAAAAAACTGAAGATAAAATTAATTTTATTTTTAGTTTTTATGTAGTCCCTTATAAGAAATTAATTTGTGTTACTATAATCAATTTGAAAAAATAAATAAATCCAACTAAATCAGGTTTCAGTCCAGGTTATCAATGTATTGATGATCAGTATTGAAGCGATAACGGCCGTAGTAACATGTCCTGCTAGCTCCGCTCAATGTTTTTTTTATGTTATATTAACGATGATTTCGTAAATTTTTTAATATTATAAATAATAACTTAAAGTATACTTTTTATTACACATGACCATTGTTTAACTATGACTTATTCAAAACCTTAAAAAAATATTAAACATAATATATTTTTTTCTTTTTGGAAGTTAGTAGTATCCTATGTTCTATTATTAAAAAAATTTGGTCCAATAATACCAATTTTTAGTTGGAAATTGAAGGAATACCCCTCACTAATAGAATTTATGTATAAAATGTCCTCTAATTTGAAATTAAGATTAAGCACGTGATATTTTTAATTACAGTTAACCCAATACATTATTAGTACAGCTTTAGTTGTAATAATTTGATTTGTTGAGATAAATGGAATGTTAAAATCACTTTGTTTAGACTTTTTTCAACCATTTACTAATATTCCAATTTATCTACTCCCTACTTTCGAGTAACATCCAAATGCATATTATGAACATTTTTTTTCAAAATATCTCAATTTATTACACTATCTAAATAGTGTTTAATTAAAAGCAAGGTAAACTCTAATTATACTAAATGGATGAAGATCCATTTAACCTATAATATTAAAACTATGGATTCCAGTCTAATCTTAAACCCATGAGACTAAGTTTTTGGCGAAAAAGTTATTAAATTTTTAAATACTGTATTTGGCTATTATCACCCTACGGAATACATTTTTTCTGTTGTAATATAAAACAGATCACTAAGGGTAAATGAGAATGAGTTGAGTGTACGAAGATGATGAAGATGATAAGGTTGAGTCTGCGTAGATTTTCTTGTATGTGTGGTCATACAGCAGTCACCGTACTCAACTGAAACTTCCGATTAACTGTGGATATTGAAAGGCCGTTGTCATAGGAAGGGAAAAGGGTAGCACATAGGTATAAAGAGCAGGCGGAGTGCAAAANTGAGAATGAGTTGAGTGTACGAAGATGATGAAGATGATAAGGTTGAGTCTGCGTAGATTTTCTTGTATGTGTGGTCATACAGTAGTCACCGTACTCAACTGAAACTTCCGATTAACTGTGGATATTGAAAGGCCGTTGTCATAGGGAGGGAATAAGGGTAGCACATAGGTATAAAGAGCAGGCAGAGTGCAAGACACAAATACTAGACGTACCAGATAAGGAATACAACAGAATACTAGGTGCAGACACAAGTATTCTTAAATGTAAAGGACGAAAATAGGCAAGTTTAAGGAGCGTCAATAAGAATAAACAAATTCTTGACTTGATACAGAAAGGTGAACAGTGACAAATACTGAGACTGATGAATAACAGAAATCATAAAGCTGCGTACAGGAATTAACTGATCACGATTGTCCTTTGGTTTTAAATAGTGTTATATTGTTTGCTAATTTCGCAATAGCTTTTTTTTTACTGTCAATTTATCAATGTTTAATAGCGAATTCGCGGTTTGTGTTTTATTTTATAATAATTTTACAATAATGATAACGTGAAACCATCACACAGCAATAAAACAAGACATGCAACAAAAAATAATATAGTTAATAATTTACATCGGACTTTGTAATGAACATAACATGTAATGTAAATTACTAAAAATATATAAGTTACAAATAAAAAAAAAATTGAACACATACAGATGATATTTGTTGCTAATTTTGCGTATTCACAACGTTGATTAACAGGTAATATAGTCTGGTCGTCGTNCAGATAAGGAATACAACAGAATACTAGGTGCAGACACAAGTATTCTTAAATGTAAAGGACGAAAATAGGCAAGTTTAAGGAGTCAATAAGAATAAACAAATTCTTGACTTGATACAGAAAGGTGAACAGTGACAAATACTGAGACTGATAAATGACAGAAATCATAAAGCTGCGTACAGGAATTGACTGATCACAATGGTCCTTTGATTTTAAATAGTGTTATATTGTTTGCTAATTTCGCAATAGCTTTTTTTTTATTGTCAATTTATCAATCTCTAATAGTGAATTCGCGGTTTGTGTTTTATTTTATAATAATTTTAAAATAATGATAACGTGAAAACATCACACGGCAATAAAACAAGACATGCAACAAAAAATAATATAGTTAATAATTTACTCCGGACTTTGTAATGAACATAACATGTAATTTACATTACTAAGAATATATAAGGTACAAATAAAAAAAAATTGAACACATACAGATGATATTTGTTGCTAATTTTGCGTATTCACAACGTTGATTAACAGTTAATATAGTCTGGTCGTCATTAGGTTTTTATTATTCATATAATGTACTTACTGTTCCCAAATTATGTAAATCTTGTATTTTATTTAAATTAAACCACGTATTTTTTTTTTTAACTGGAAGTCCAAGTTGTATAAATTAAGTTTAGAGTTTATGTTTAAATTAGAACCATTTCTTTATATTGTAAAAAAAAAAAAAGTGTTTACCAAGATTTCTAAAGGAAATATTCAATTAGTCATATTGTAAGTATATAAAATTATGGTAAAATTATTTAATTTAGATACATAAAGGTTACCATAAATTGCGATATTATTAAATACAATAATTAAAATCACCATTTGTACGTATTAAAAAAGTTCTAAATAATATTTATCCATTAAAAATGGAAATACGCTCTCGGAATTAAAGAAAAAAATATGATCACGTTCTTTTTTTGGCAAAATTATGTTGTTTTTCTATCGAGTTTTGAAAAATAAATGTAACTATAATAACATTTGAAGAACTGTACAAAACTAGGTAAGTTCAATGTTAGAAATATTTAATTAAAGGCAATAGTAAAAAGCTTCTCTAGATTTTTAAATATCTCAAAAACAATAGTAATATGCAACTCGGTTTTATACTGAATTACTCAGTAAAATCATATTTATTTGAATTAATAAAAAATTACTTTCTGAAAATGTTGCACTTTACCAAACTATTCCATTGATTATATAAATATGTGGAATACGTTACACTACTAACATAGAAATGTCACAGGTCTCAAATAAATTTTTGGAAGGGTCATTTTAATATTTTTTATAGCACTATTATTTTAAAAAAAGACTCTTATTTTTTATACTATTAAACTAGTTTTAAATAACAATGAACAACTGTAGAGAGTAATAAGTATAATATACTTATTAATATTAAAAAATACAGAGTAGAACAGATCTATCTTACAACTTACATAACTTATATACATAACATTATATTATTTTTTTAAATAAATTTTTACAAAATAGGATTATATTTAAAATATGTTTTTTTTTAACTTTTTGCAATTAGAAAAAATATTTTTTGAAATAATTTTTTTATTAAATTTGTTTTTTATTTAAAAATAAATTTTGATGGAACTAAATATTATCTTTTTACATTATTTCCTGGCGATTGTACGCGATTTCTTTTACATGAAAAATAGTAACGAGTTTTTTTTTTACAAAAATGATTATCTCAAATCTTTATTACAATATGTCTAAAACATTTAACTACAAATATTAGAACTTAAAATTGATAACAATTATTATTAATTCGTGAGATTCTATCTTTGATATCATATTATTATAGAATATTCCATTTTAAGAGATTTCATAATAATTGCGCTTGTTCATTATTAATCATGTTTAGATTTATAAAACATGAACCTATTTAATTAAAAACTGATCATGTTTTAGAAAACCTTTTTATAATTTTTTTGATAAACATAATTTGACTACTTTTTGTGTTTTCACGTCCAATACAAAAGCTCATTCAAACGTTACTATTTTTCATGTAAAAGAAATCGCGTACTGTCGCCAGTAAATAACGTAAAAATATAATATTTACTTCCATCCTATACATACTTGGACTAAAGTTTGATACTGTAGAAAAATGATAAAAAAATTCAATTGTAAAAAACTTTAAAATGCTGTATAAACGTAATTACTATATAAAATAATAGTTTTTCATATGAAAATTTTTCTTTAAAACTTATTCAAAAAATGGCATTCTTCAAATAAAAAAAAAAGTAAGTTATAAAATATTTTTTCTAATTGAGCAAAATAACAAAAAACATATTTTAAATAAAGTCTCACATATTTAAGTATCCTATATATAAAACTATTTAAAAAAAACGTATAATTGGTTATGTAGATCATAAGTTATATGAGTTGTAAGTTAGATTTGTTCTACTCTGTACATTATATTCTGCAATCTTTTAGCATGAATAAACAAATAAAATATCTTGAATATTTATTATTTAAATTTTTTATTAAAAATAAAATCGATAAATTGCCGTTTTTTTTTTGTTGTTAAATAACTAAAACTATTAAAAAACATGCTAATAAATCTACATTTCGATCAATTATTAATTTTTATATTTGATTTAATGCATTATATTTTTATGTTATCAAATAGCGTAATTAATTGCACTTTTTTGTAGATTATTTTTTTGGTGTGATTTATAAGCTATTAAAATAATTCATGAATTCGTCATGAGTTGTGATTTATTGTTTATTATTATTTATAAACAGGGATGTTATTTCACTGGAACTATGATGTGGTGTAATTAGTACCGAGGGAGTAATTATTCAAGACGTTATATAATTATAATAAAAAAAATAATTATAAATAATAACACAGAAATTTAGGTATGCAATTGTATACCTGGTGTACCTCAAATAACGACCCTGTAAAGAAATAACTTCATTTCACTTTAAAAATCACTTTTAAAATTTTAGACGCGTAAAATAATGAATAACAAATCACGAGTTAAAACAAGTGTAAGAAAATCAATATAAATGTTTTTGTTTGCAAAATATAAATGTATTATAAAAATAATTGTTGTTCATTTTTGGCTTGTATTATTAAAAAATATTTAATTCTAAAATCCACAAAAGTACTTAGAATGTACATATTTAATAAAAATTATTTCATCATAAATACAAATGACTAGATTAGAATCTTTCTTTTTCATAGAATAGATAAAACATTTTTTATTTGTCTTATTATCTTTTCCATTATTATTCATAATCAAGTAGTAAAATATTAATTCATTTGATTATTATTTCAAAAATTTTATAATAAATAACTCGTTCATTTATTTAAAAACTTTCAAACGTTGTACATACAATTTTATACTCAACTCAATGGTTTAAAATGATTAATTTTAATTAATAATTTAGTGAATTTAGTATACTGGAACATTTTACGTTAACTGTAACAATAATGTTTTTTGTGTGGTGTGTAAACAATATTACAATTTTTAATTAGAATATAAATGGATTTATTTCTAACACAGAAGTGCTCTTTGAATAAATTAAAAAGTATAACAGTTAAAATACCAATTGCAGTTTTTTCAATCACATATGACATAATGACAAAGGTAACATGTTGATGCCATAGTGTCTTTTTGTCTTAATAAATTTAAAAACTCTTATGATAACCAATTGCATTTATTACACAGTAGTACAAATCCGATATTTTGATATTTATGTAATAATTCTATTTAGTATTGTGCTTTGAGTTTATATTTAAATTAATTGTTATGTTAATTTTATAATTTACATCAATTAAAAAAAATTAATACATTAGTAAATTGATAGGGTTTGCCTGTTTTAATAATTTTTTTATGCTCGCACAAATAAGTAGGTGGGAGTATATGAAGTCTTTACATTGTAGAATTTTTGTGAAACAGAATAATATGTACATTTTTTTTAAATAATTCACTCCTAAAAAAATTACATCAATATTAATATAATCATTTTATATAATTTTTATTTTAATGTTAGTTAATGAGATATAATGGAAATCACGCTTGACATTTCGCGTGCTTAATATTCTAATTATTAAATAAAATTAATAAGAAAAACAGAATATATCAAATATTTTCATAATCAAAAATTCAAATTGATAGTATTTGTAATGGTACCAAATTGTACCATTTTTTAGAATTAGTTTTATAACAATGTAATTTTTAATTGTAGATATTTGAAGTTTTGAATAATTTTTTCTGTCAGTTTTTGGGTAAATTTTAATTTTAACTATCAAAGTTATATTTATTTTTTCTCCATAAATATTAGAAATAAAATATTGTTGTTTTAAAAAAATTATGACATTATTTGTATAAACAAAAGTATACAACTTTAATAAGTAAAAAAAATGAATAGTTTTACTTTAACGAACAATAAAAAAATTTAACTTACAGTAACATAATTTTAAGATGATCTAACTGCAATTATTAATCGAATTTCATCATAAAACTATTGAAATATTATTTAAATGAAAAATGTTATATATAATGGTCTAAAATATACAGAATGTTTAAAAAGTAAGGAAACAGGTCAATCGTTAATGAGAACAATAAAAAACTGTTTCCTTACTTAACACTATACATTTTTTTATAATTCCCTGTTAAATAATGAAAATTTCGTTTATGTCATAACATTAAAAATCGATATTTAACTTATTAAAAGATCATAAATGTCTTGTTCAAAAAATAAAAAATGTTTGACACAATAATTATATTATTTGATAAAATGGTTCTTTGTCGAAGAAAAAGTGGTGATGTGTTATATATTGAAACAAATTTAAATGTTATATAAGTACTGACTATTTAAATATTTGAAACTCTCATTGTTCAACAGTTTAATTATTAACCGTTTTTTACAAATTTATAGCGGAAAAGGCTAATATGTATTATGTGTATAATTATATAAAGTAGGTACTTGGCTAACATGCGGAAAATGTGTATGAGGAGAAATGAAGGGGAGAATACGTTCGGTTTATAACCACAACACTATAAAGCGAATACAGATACCTTTTAAAACACAGATAATTTATCTTTTGTGTCATTGAGCTAAAATGTTTTTTTAACACATGGAATTTTTCGTTAATTTTTTGAATCATTAATTGCTTTTTCATTTGAAACAAAATAATACTCTGACAATGTTGTATAAAGTGCTTAATGTATAACACACTAAAAAATTATCTAGTAATTCACTTGATAATAATAATTATTGTAATAATAATTATAATAATGTATAATTCAATTATTGAAATATAATTATTTTACTTCAAAACCAAAACATAGAACTTTTAAAGTTTATAGTCAAAACCTGAGAACTATCCACAAACTCATATTTGTAATATTAAATGTGATCTGGTAGACATGGGCCATTTGGCACACAATATCACTAATGCTCTAATAAAAAAAAAGGAATGGTTAGAAAAAAAAACAAAAAACGTTGAATTGACGCATATAAATCTACTATTGTTTTTTGTGGAATTAAAACCGCAGACTAACAATAAAAATATTTATCATGTAGAACAATTATGCCGACACAAAGATTGAGTTGAAAATCTAAAAAAGAAGAAAAAACAAGTCCCGCAGTACAAAAGTCCTTTAATCATACACAAAATTACTGCGCTGTACTTAAGTGTAGCAAAAAACATAAGTATATAGATTGTCCTAAGTCTAAGAAAAATAAAGTAAAGTATGCTACTTGTGACGAAAGTAATAATTAGAAAGTCACAACTAACAGAAAAGTCTATAATACCAACCAGCCTATAATGTGGCAGAGTTAAAAGCTAATCCATTAAAAATGACTGCTGTTCAACGTGTGCAGTGAAATAAACTAATTAAGTTTAGCTTGTGTAAAATGTTGATTAAGACCAAATGTCGTTTCAATTAAACATTTTGAAAAGAAAAAAAGAATTGTTAAAATGTATATCTTGCCTAAGCAATATTAATTGTTTATAACGAAGTAATAATGGTTTTCATATTAACATATTATGTCACTATACTGTTGTAATAGGCCCTTTACATAAAAACACAATTTCTTTCTCTTCCTTTTCATCTCTCAGCACAAACAAAGATTCTATCCTATTACACAATACTTTTCACAACATATACTATACACAATCAATATTTTCTGTGCTTAATCACAGCCAAACACATAGTTGACACAATCACGTATTGATAGGCATCCGCTCTTCTTTTTCACCGCACGTGCACTGTTCGACAATCAAATGTTTCTATTTATTATTTTCAGTTAAAGGACGATTTTTCATTGTATAAACAAAATTATGAAATTCCTAAAAAAATGTGAAGCAAATGAAAGCCGGACGAGGAATATGTGCGTCTCTGGAAGGGGTTACAAGAAGGACTCCAGGAGAGACCCAGAGATGGACCTGTTTCAATCGAACTCTAAGACGTCGCATTCATCTTCTGGTTCTCGCGAGCTACCTTAATTTAACACCGCAGAATAATTATAAATATATTTATCAATATATAAGCTTGTGTTTATTAACTAAGAATAATATCTCTCCGTAACATTCACGTGATGTAATTACCTTCTAATTATCACAATTATTTTGTATAATCATATGTGAAGTTATATTAATTATATTATTTTATCATCAACTATTTGGATTTTCGTTCTTTTTATCAATATTTTACATGCCTAAAGGATAACTAAAAGCTCAGGTAAGAACATTCAAACATAGCTGGCAAATTAATATTAACAAACATAGACCCTTGAACAGCACGCTCCCAGTAAAATAACAAGAATAGTTATTATATTCGATACCCCATTCCCCCTTTACTATTTTTTTTGGTTTACGACAATACCCTATAAATAAACAAAGGCACAATTTCGGTAATTTTTTTTTTTTTTGGAGAAGGTCATTAGATTAAATTTGACTAAGAAATTTTTTCTTCAAAACTTCAAATTTTGTAGTGAAATATTTACTTAAAAAAAGTCCGAAAATCATACAGTTATTATAAAACAATTATTATAATCATTCTCTATATTGTTTTACTTAATACTATTATAATTTTTAAGAAAAACGTTTAATTTCCTCAAAATATATTTTAATGGTACATATGATATATAGAAAACTACTTTTTGTTTTATAAAAACATTAAAAGTAAAAAGTACAGTTTATTTAAGAGCTGGAAGTCTACAATAAATTATAAACGACCTCAGTGTTCGTTGACACCAACTGGGTATCTTAATTTTAAGATCATCATATTCTACTTTCATATACAATATTTTTAATATTATGAGTAAAATAAACGTACCAAGTAAAATATTACACTTGAAAAACTTCTTTAAGAAAATAGTTGCTCAAAATAATTTTGCTTCTAATTAAAGCTTTTTACAATTCGAGTGAAATACAAAAAATAAATAAAAATATGAAATGATAATATGCATAGCCAAAGAGAAATAACAATTAATTTTAATAAAGTTTATTTATTAACTCCCAATAAAACCATTTTATTATAAAGAAAAAAATGATTGATTAATTTTTAATTATATTGAATAAAATGTAAAATTTTGTTTAACTTTAATAAATTTAGTTTTAAAACATGATAATTTTTAGTTATTGAATTTATAAAACTATTTATTATGTGACAAAATATATCATTATACCAATAATTTCATTTATTGTGGATATAAAGAAAAATTATTGGTCTAACAAAAATGATTTTATCATTAATTGATAATGTATTTACAATTATTTTATAATATAATTATTATTTTAAAAATGTTCTTATTAAGGTTGATTAATTCAATAATTTCTTATGAATTAAAAATATATTTATTATTACCACAATTTATATTTGAATCGTAAATTCTTTGTCATGAGAATAAAATTATTATTTATCTAAATAATACATCTAATAATTACATAATTAATAAACTAAATTATTTTTTAAAAATTAAATTCTATGATTATAACAAATTATAATTTAATTGTATACCAAAATATGTATTAAACTGTTATAAAGCTTCTTTCATTGTTGAACTCTGAAAACAATTTATTCTGTAAATTCTTACACATATAAGAACAGCAAAATAGAATAAAATGAATTATTCATAAGGTTTTTTGTTTACATAAATAACAATATTAAGACCTTTCTTTAAAATATAAAATACACTTTTTACTATGTCTGGCTATTTTGTTTAAGCTGGTAACTTAAAGATTGTATGGTATATATTATTGAAATCGATTATAATAACATATTTATAAGAATCAATAATAAAAGTTAAAATCAAAAATTTTAATTATCCTCATTTGAAGAATAATAAAACCCACTTTAAATAATTTTGTTTTATAATTAAATTGTTTATATAAAGCTTTTCTGACCTACTAAAATGATAAAAACTGCATTAACTTTGAATTATTATTAACTACAACGATTATTTGGCTCATTACAAAGGATTTCAACAATTATTTTAATATCAAGTTTTTTTTCTACTATCTCATTTAAAAAAAACTTAAAAGGTCATAATAATCAACAGGCTACGCGTAAATAAAAATAACACAAAAAAAAAATGTAGTGTAGCTGTTATTTCAAAAAGCTAAATGTTAAAACAAATATAGTATACATATTTGATTAATCGAAAAAACTAAAACGTTAAATTAAACTTCACTGGTGTTCATTAAAAGAGAGAATAAATTATAATTTAAATGGAGCTTTTTTCAAGAGGGTTTAAATCATGAAAAGACTTTTGTACATTTCTTTTTTAATATTACTCGATGTTAACTTAACAAATTTTATTTTTATCATCAGTTATTTAAAATAATATTAATATAATTACTGAAAGGGGATTTTTTTAAATTCTATTGTATTCGTCTATTAAAATTTTAATATTTTTGTTCCATTATTTAAATCAAAAATGACTTAATCGAAATAAATTTAATTTAGAACTTGTTATAAATTAATGAAATCATTAAAATCTATTAGAATATAAATTATTTATATCACATTATTTTTATTAGATTTTTTGAAAATGTATACAATTTGACATTCGTAAGAAATACTTTTGTTGATTTCACTAATATTAAGATTGAAAATTGGAGGTTTTCATAAATAAATTATAACACGTGTATTTTTATGTAATAGTTTACATTTACTTGACATAAGAAACAAAACTGCGCTTCAAATAAGAGGTAGAATAGACGAGGAAATGTGCGCGCGTGGACAGCCGACGGCAATGTTGGTGGCAGAATATTTTATTTATAATATCAGAGCAAAGAATACGTGGGCTGAGGATTAAATATTAAATACAGATTATTCAGTTGGGAATTGGAAAGTCCATAAAATATTGAAAATTAAATTACCAACGGCTGCATTGGCTTCGTAGTTATGTGGACGTTTCGAAGGCAGAGGTTGAATAGTCAATGGTAACTGTAAAATGAGAGTGGTAAGAAGAAGAGTCTATGCTAACATTAGAATGTAAAAGTTATGCATAAAGAACCTCTGCGCATTTTAGTGAAAAAAATAGTTCATTAAAGTGTTAGTAAGTACATTTGAGTCATCCTTATAAAGTTTGTTTTTAAATTCTTTATTGGATAAAATTTATTCAATAAGAAACGTATTATTAATTGATTCTAAATTATTTAAATATTAGTATACATTTGTTTAATATTCTTTATTTCTCTGTTTATGCATTAAATATAATATTTATACACAAAAATTATATGTGCATACATTTGTTTTAAAAACAGGATAACAGAAAAGCTGGTGCACATAGTTCATTCGAGCTTTGTTGCGTTGGTACAGTTCTGTTCAATCGAGTTATACAATTTTCTTTATGAATATATTACAAAGGGGAAAACGGATTTTGTAATCGAAAAACTAATCAATATATACAATGTCTACACATTTTCTGCAAAGTAAATTTTAAACATTTTGATTTTAAATAGACCGACATTCGAATTGAATGACCGGACATGGTATACGATTTGCAATTATAAATTTGTTAGTGTTATATTGAGTAAAAAGAAGTAATCTATTTATCAAGTTAGGTAATCATGTGTATATATTACTAATGTTTAAGATGTATATGATCACAAAAATGTGATACTAAATGATGTGAGGGCCTACAAAGAGCCAGATTAGACTCTTTGTCTAGAGTTTTTTCAATTATAAATTCGACTGTTGGTTTTTCGAATATATATAATCATAAGTTTGAGTTATTTAACTTTAACCGAACTTTACTTGAAATGTGTTTTTTGATTATACAGGGCTATATATTAAGAACAAGACGCCCTTTCTCGGAAACATGAAAATTTCAAGTATATGAATAGGAAAATATTGTTTTATTCAGAAAACTCATCAATAATATGTAGTTAATTTTTTTTCATCTCTCCAGGGATGAAAAACTTAAGCTTATTTTAGTTTGGTGATAAAAAAGAAACATTTCGCAAAAGGTATTGAATTAAATAAAATTAATTTAATTTATGAATCCAAAGAATAGGAACAATATTTGCAGTCGTGTTACTCACCTTTTAAACTTATTGGGAAACCGTTAAGTTTTTAAAATTATTTATTCTTATATACGACGAAAAACGTCGAGCTGTATTAAGGCTATATTTTTCACAATAATTTAATGATTTTAATTAAAACAATGAAATTTTATTTTACAGGTAATTACTTCAAAAAAAACTATTTCAAAAGAATTTTACTCAACCAAACGAATTTCAACTTATCGATCACTTTAGTAAAACTTCTTTATTCTAAGTTATAAATTAATGCTAAATAATTGTTTTTATGAGGAATGTAACCTTAAGGACGTATTTTCAATAGATGGTTCTAATATAAAATAATACAAGTCATTTTTTGTGTGTAAAAATTATAAAAATAATATTATGTTTTTATTAGTTTTGTTGATATAAAAAAAAAATCAATGATAACTTTTAAAGTTTTTATTATTATTGTCTATATTTTTATTATTTTAAAAGTAAAAAAAAAAATATTTAATTCATCTTGAAAAGTATGATTTTTTTTTTCATGTTACTTCTTATATAAATATAATTGTTCGAATAAATTAATAACCACTGATTTTAAATGGTTTATGACTTTAACATCAATTATATATATCGATAATGACATATTTAAGAAGAGTATCAGGAGATGCTGTTAACTCCCTTGAAATAATCTTTTTTAATTATTGTATGACGACTAAAAAGATTTAATTTATACATTAACTAGCATGTTAAAAATTAACTTTATAGATTTGCCAAGTAAATTTTAAAATATATTTGTATGTAGAATTCGCTCCGAATCCACTTTTTTCAATTAAGCAGGTAACAATATATTTGGAATATTCATTTAAAAAATATTCAAAAATTCTTTTAGCGTACAATCATCTATTACCATAAACTAGAACAATATTTTTATCAATATTATATAAAAGTCAAGCATTAAAAGGTTTATTTCATACTTTTAATAGTTTTTGAAATTTCATCTTTTGTATTTTCATCTACTACATGTAATTTGATAAAAATATTTTTATTATTAATTTTTTACAAAAAAAAAAATGAATATATTTTAAATTGATTAAAAATAAAACAACAAATAGCATAAAAATATAATATAATATATTTTGTGAATTACGAAAGATTAATAATAGTAATTATAGTATTTTACAATGAGATATTTGAATTTAAATTCTATTGTAAGCGCAATAAATGACGTTTGTAAATCGTTTTATAATTTTGAAAATTATTATTTAAGCAAAATTTGTTCATAAAATGTTAGGTTGTAAAAATCTAAATTTAAAATGTTCAAAATAATATAAAAATCTGTAGCTATTTTATAGAAGCCGATATATCACTTTCTTAATTATTCAAGAGAACAAATACAAGTAATACGTTTCAATGGCAAATTGTAGATATTAAAATTTTTGAAGCGCATAAAACAAACTTAACTTTTTTACACATGAAATATAACATTCATCCTCTATTTAATTTAAAAATGTTGACATAAATTCTTGGACATAAGATATACAATGAATAGCATACTTTGAAGTTTTGTATAGGGGACCAGATATTTTTTTAGAACACAGAGTATTGGGCAGATTCACCCCTACACAAATGAAATTATTTTCAATCTCTAACGTGTAGGCTTGAGGGTAAATGAATATTTTAATTATAGTCTACATACACGCTATAGAATTTAATGAAATATGGAACTTAACATAGCTCCTCTATTAAAATTAACTTTATTTGTGCACATGAAATANGTGTTTTTATTCAAAGTTTAAAATATCGTAAGCTACCGATCAATGATAGACATACATAAATAGTAGAGTAACCTGGTGTAAAAGTGTGCTCATTTTTCATTTATCGCACATAATTTGTAGTATATGGTAGCTATAAATAATATTTTTTTTTAAGCTATACAAAATATTAAAAAATACAAATTAAGTATTTATAGTGAGCTCTATTAAATGAGTAGTGCAATGACATAAAATTATAAATAAAAGTGTATTCTAAGCCCATTGACGGGATAACAGTCCAATTAGTATCGAGTAAGATTTAACGAGCAAATAAATAAATTCATAACTAGGTATTTTTTATGCAAAATAACAAAATAATCATACAGTTTAGTAATTTAACAATACAATATCATGATATGTAATTATAATAAAGAAAAAAGAATTAACTATTTAAGAAAACACTTATTTTTTTTTTTAAATATTTTTCAATAAATAAGATGATTATATTAACTACTAAGATGACGTATTTTTTTAGAGCAACGTTGGACTTTAACCCCAAATCAAAATTTTTTATCACATTACATAAATAAAATTGTGTGTCTTCTTATTTCTTCTTTTTCCTCAACCTAATCCTAATTACTTGGAGTCGGCCACCTTTATCCTAAACTTCCACTTGACACGATCTCCCACATCATCAACGCTCACATCAGTTGTCCTCATATCACATTCAATAGCATCCCTCCTTCTCGTTTTTTGTCTTTCTCTACCTCTTCTTCCTTCAACATTCATTCCTATAACTGTTCTTATAACTTCCGATTCCTCACTCATTCATCATAATTAAAATTAAAAATATTAAAACTCAAGTTATTTCCTCTATACATTAGAATATTCCTAAGAGAGTAATTAATAATCGTTTTATTAGTGTTTTAAATTCTTGAATGACATAAAGTTCTATTATAATCTGAATGTAACATGGTCTTAATAGCATAGAAAATTAATTAATAATTTACTAATTTACTTTTAAAGTTAAAATATCTATTTAATAATAAAATGATGGGATCAATATACTTGATCTACATTACTGGTAAGAATTGTCTAATAAAAAATTTGAGATTGAGAAAGATATCAGATAAAAGTTATTTCAGAGTTGTTTTGTCACAATGGATGCAATTTGAAAAAAAAATTCAAGAAGACTACATTCGTAATCATTTTCCAAAAGCCGATTTTTTAACCTTCAACAATTTTTCGGAAGATAAAAACGAATTATAAATTTAAATGGCATAATACAAAAAATTACATTTTTTACAACTTTTCTTCCCTAAACATTCATTTCTATAATTGTTCTTAAAACTTTCGGTTTCTCTCTCTTCATAACATAACTAAAAATAGTCTATGTTATAATAAAATCCAAATCCTATTAAATTATTTTATGAACTTAAAATAGTATTTTAAAAGGTAAATTGTAATATAAAAACACTAGACTCTGCACCAGACTAGGTACCCTTTGGGCCTCGTATAATATTATTACTTTAGTAGACAAAAAAGTAAATATAATAAAAGACTTACTAATTAAAAATATATGTTTGAAAAATTAATAAGTTTAAAGATATGCACGACGTTTAAATGATAAAAGTAGAGTCGGCTTAATTAATTAAAAAATTTGAGTTAAGTAGAACTTAAAAATGGAAAATATATTCATACTTTACTTCAGAATAGCTGTATATTTTTCTGTTTATAGTTATCCAAATTTTACATCTCGTATAAATTAAAAATCTTAAATANAGTTATCCAAATTTTACATCTCTTATAAATTAAAAATCTTAAATAAATCAGTATATAAAGACTTTTAACCAATTCTCATGTAATAAAACTTATTTAAAAAACAAATATTCTTTCAATTAACAACTTGAAATATTTAGCAGTAAATTTAAACAAAATTAATTTAATTTTTCGAACAAAATGAATCCAAAATATTAGTTATAGGAAAAGGCAAGTTATTTTTTATAAAATTAAATGGTTTAAAAAATAAATATTACTAAATNATATAATAAAAGACTTACTAATTAAAAATATATGTTTGAAAAATTAATAAGTTTAAAGATATGCACGACGTTTAAATGATAAAAGTAGAGTCGGCTTAATTAATTAAAAAATTTGAGTTAAGTAGAACTTAAAAATGGAAAATATATTCATACTTTACTTCAGAATAGCTGTATATTTTTCTGTTTATAGTTATCCAAATTTTACATCTCTTATAAATTAAAAATCTTAAATAAATCAGTATATAAAGACTTTTAACCAATTCTCATGTAATAAAACTTATTTAAAAAACAAATATTCTTTCAATTAACAACTCGAAATATTTAGCAGTAAATTTAACCAAAATTAATTTAATTTTTCGAACAAAATGAATCCAAAATAATAGTTATAGGAAAAGGCCAGTNGGTTCTATTCTTTTGTTGTAACCTATACAATAAACTACGGCTCACGCCATTTAGAAACCTCGTGTCGTCTAAGTTCTTTAATAACAACCTCTATCAAAATCAAATAAAGTTTCTCACAATTTATTTGGAAGGAATTTAAAAAGAGCGCACTAGGCCCTTCGGGCTGTCTTTACAGGTCACTGATTCCAATAGGAGTACCTGGCTACGCCAGGCACAATATGTAATGTGTACAATAAATATAACTCCAAAAGCAGATTTATAGAAAATTAGTCTCCCTTAAAATTGATTAATAATTTTAAAAATTTGTAATATGACTACAAAATACTTAGACGTGTTCACAATTATACTTCATAATAAACTCTTCTTCTTCTTCATCGCCTTAATCCCAACTACTTGAGATCGACCACCCTTATCCTAAACTTCCACTTGACACAATCTCCCATATCATCTACGCTCATATCAGCTGTCCTCATAGCGCATTCGATAGCATCCTTCCATCACTTTTTTGGTCTTCCTCTACCTTTTCTTCCTTGAACATTCATTTCTATAACTGTTCTTACAGCTTTAGATTCTTCTCACCTCATAACATGACCAAATCATCTAAGTCTATTTTCTTTCAACTTATCCATGATTGATTTTACACCTATATTTCCTCTTATATGCTCATTCCTTATACTATCTTTTCTAGTCACTACACTCATCCATCTAAGCATTCTCCTCTCTGCTACATATATCCTCTGCTCTTTTCTCTTGTCAATCGCCCAATACCCTGAACCATACACCATAGCTGGCCTCACTACAGTCTTGTAGAATTTATCTTTAAGGCTCATTAGAATTCTTTTATCGCATAAGACACCAGACGCTTGTCTCCACTTCAACCACCAGCACTTAATTCTGTGTCTTACATCCTCGTCCATACCACCGCTCTTTTGCACAACTATAATTGTGCAAAAATAACTACAAATATAACACACTCCTACTCTTACCCGAAAACCTTCTGTTACTCCTCCTACGCTTTTTACCCTGGTATAAGTGCCATCATACATATCTTCTATTATATTAATGTACCTTTTCGGGACTCCTTTTCTCACTATTGCCCACTTTAAAACCTCCCTCGGTACTCT